GGTTTCCAGTGCAACTGTAACTAATTTTGACAGTGTTTCGATCTGTCTCTTATACACATCTAGATGTGTATAAGAGACAGCCCATCAAGACCCCCGAACAGATACACCATTTGTCTGGGATATGTGGTTGGCTTCTTCTAACCACGGAGGATGTAAAGTACATCGTACATCGTCACTATGTAAATCAGGCCATACAAAATGTTAATAACAAATGTGTTGTGATTGATTTGTTTTTCGTTCAGTTGTTGTTTGTTTAATTTTATTACCTTTCGTACACAATACAAAATGTAAGCCCATGTTCACATGAATAAATATGCTATTCAGTTGAATCATTAAGAGACGAGATCCGTGCGCTTGCTTTACTGTCCCATTGAGCTCCTGTCGTTTAGATTAAATAGCACGGATACGATTACCTTTTTGCTTAATGTTAAGACAGTATAGTAACAACTGATAATCACTGTTATAAACTGTCTCTTATACACATCTAGATGTGTATAAGAGACAGTTTTAAGGGTTCTAATCCAGTTGCATCCAGAAACAGGACCAAAATCCATCAAGCTGAATTCTTTACGTAGACACACGGGAATACCCTCCCCCCCCCCATCATCCTACTACTTTTTATCATTATTATGACCATGGAGGTCTTATAGTTAAAAATATACCTCCATGTTATGACTAAGGCTCTGTATGGCATTCATCGACCGTGAGGCTCTATCGATCCTGCCCGACGTACTTGTCTCTCGCAGCACGCTTCAATGAACCTATTTCCTTTCTATCGATCGATCCAGCGTCACTGATTTCAGGAAATCTTTCAAATATTCTCATCTTCTATTGTTATGAATTCTACTAACAAAAAATGTAATGTGCGAGCTTACATTACTCCACGAGTTAATAAGCATAACCTTGGAATTTAGTAGGCCGGCTATATCAAATTTATAACGAGAAGCAAGCAGATACACAGAAAACGAATCGATATTAAAATTTGATATTCGAATAACTCTTGGGCACTGTAACATTTATCCACTTATATACTTCTATAAAACAAAATCTAAATTGGCAGAGACTATTGTTATTCCTCTTAGGTTTTTTTTTAGATTTATGCAGAAAGATATTAGTCATAGGCTATGACAGTTTATTTCAGTATTTATAATTACGTAATAGGCCTATGCTCTGCCTTTCATGTTATCAATATGTTTAGTAAAGACATCGTGATTATTTTTGACATATTTATTCCGGTTAACTATAGCCTAAGATAAGAATTGCACAGCAACCAAAATAATTATTGTACGGCTTCGAAAGATTCGCCATTACTTAATTAATATTCTTATTAGACGGTCGCGATAGACGAAAGTGAGATTGAAAAGCAAAGGAAAGGTGATACATTAAGCAGAGTGTTTCGGGAGAAGGAAGCAATTTACTAAACTGTAGTACTAATTTAAGCTCCACACTAATACGCTACACTTCAGCAGAAAATTAAGTAAAATGGTCTACTGACGCAAATGCATCTGGAAAGTAAGGTTTGAAATAATGGCTGTGTGGAAAATGTTGTGCCCACTCTCTTCATGCTCAAACTCAGGAAAATTAAACAAGAGTTTTAATCTCAGCAAATCTAGAGAGGGGTGAGCCGGGGTAAGGGGGGGGGTCACGCTTTACTATGGTGGGGCACGCCCATCAAGACCCCCGAACAGATACACCATTTGTCTGGGATATGTGGTTGGCTTCTTCTAACCACGGAGGATGTAAAGTACATCGTACATCGTCACTATGTAAATCAGGCCATACAAAATGTTAATAACAAATGTGTTGTGATTGATTTGTTTTTCGTTCAGTTGTTGTTTGTTTAATTTTATTACCTTTCGTACACAATACAAAATGTAAGCCCATGTTCACATGAATAAATATGCTATTCAGTTGAATCATTAAGAGACGAGATCCGTGCGCTTGCTTTACTGTCCCATTGAGCTCCTGTCGTTTAGATTAAATAGCACGGATACGATTACCTTTTTGCTTAATGTTAAGACAGTATAGTAACAACTGATAATCACTGTTATAAATTTGTAGATGTGAGGCATCATTTTTATGTTGTTTTGCAATACAGATTTAATACATAATCCGTTGCGTTTTCATTACTGCTGTTGTTTGTAGTTTTTATCGTTCCGGTTATTGTCTCTCATAATTTCTACCAGTTTTATATACGGTAATGTTTCTAAGAATGGTGTGAGATTATTGATATACCAACGTCACAGTGTACCGTAAGTCTCTATGTGGGATGCATGTCTTTGAATCAAATGCATTAATTAAGATCAATCTTCGGAGAAACAATACAGTTAAGTGCCCTTTACGAACTGACCTTTAGATCACTCTACATTACATCATATCCTCCTTTTAACGGACAGTGAATACTAGGCCTAATTATTATTATAATTATATGCGCTTTCATCTTAGCCACCGTAATGAATGTTTACGTTTTCAAGACATTCCTGGTCACATTGTCATACAGTATATCAAGATAAAAGAGTTCATAATATTTTAAGCCTTGCCTTCAATCTCAGAGGATATAGGCCAAGGCATTATAGTTACTTAGCTTCATTATGAATGTTAATTTGTTTATATTCGATATGAAAGCTACTACTGTATATATTTGCAATTACACATAGGCATATATTGTTTATCCCATTCTGTTAAAGTAGCAATTTATCAATGTTGTTAAATAAAACAAAATAAAAACATGTATAATGGCTGTTGTTTAACATCCAAATCCTACATTTAAATAGACTTTATGTTAAAAAATATATATAAATCAAAAAGTATATTAACGTATGTTCAATAATTTAAGAATAACTGTTAGTTACATAACGTAATGGGCTTGTCATCAATACAAAATGTTCGTTCTAAATCTATAAATCAGCGAGAACTGTAACACGTTGATTATTTCCTTAATAATGATGATGTGATGGTTCACAGGATTGAGCGATATAGGCTTATTAGACTCATGATCAAAATGTAGACGTACTGAAGGATGTTCAACGGTAATAAAAGACGACACATATTGAATTTTGTACGCATATCTTTCGATGCATTTATTCACACGTAGAGAGAAAACAGAATTACACAATGACGGGTGACGCAATGAATATCAAAACACATCAAAGACTGTATGGAGAACTGGGTTGCCAATACTCCCCAAACGTTTTAACGCTTACATATTATACTGTTCGCTTGAGTAGGCCTAATACCGAATACTGTGAGTTCGTCTGCATTCAGCAAACTTTAGTAGAAGGAGGCCTGTAATATCATTTCTGTGGCACGGGTTCCACCTATGTAAATTATGTACATTGCCTCAACTATCACTTAAGCTGTCTATATTACAATAATAACATTGTCTGCTTTGTACACGATTTCATAGTTTTCCAGCTAGCCTGCACTGTGCTTAAGCTTTCAAAATTCTGTACAGAAATTGTGGGCATAAAAATGTTATCCAGAACTTTTTCTCTAAACCAGAAAATGTTTACAATTAATCGTTACAACCTTTCGTTCCAAAATATACAAACATTTGCTTAAGGAAGTTATATTTCCGACTCATTTATGTACAGCTACAAAATAGACATACACGTCGGAATCACAGGTAGAGATGACCACTGAATGCCTTAAGTTGAACGGAGAAAATGTCACGTGACGTATGACGCATACATCAATGATATCTTTAATAATCGTTATATTCAGATATTAAGTCCCGTTTTAAGAATCGACTAACAGAGATTTAAACATATTAAATAAATTGTAATTTCTTCCCACGTTTTTAAGTCAGTCGACCTTTGGCCTTAAGTCGGAGCGTTACTGTCACTCAGTAATTCTTACAGGCCAGAAGTACCGTATGTCTTAACACTTCGTTAACCCACTATCAACTGGATGACGACATCAATAAACCAGCATTATTTGTAGGTCTATGCTCGTATGATGTAGTCTTACCATTTGACAGGGCAAAAAAAATCGTTTAAGTAATTTTGGCAGTGTCTCTTCTTCTAAACTTACACGTTTTTAATAATATACTTTTTTGTTTTCCTTTAATTGCAACTACCCTTCTTATATTACAACTATATATATGCATACATTTAAGGTATGCGGATTGATAAAAAAAATATTAATAATAATAATAACATTGTAAACAACAATAATAATTATAATTAATATAATTATACAGGCCTATATATATATATTGTATGAACTATATCCATCAATCAACTCACACTACATCAATATTAATTTTGTCTGTTACATTCGCGCACCTTCTCTCAATTTTATAAAATATCATAACCTCTTATATATTTACAATCCATATATATTTATAAATAAATATGGAATATTTTTCTAAATATTCTCCGCTCTCAACATAATGTTTAACATCAGTGCATGTAATATTAAATATTAATCTCTTTCGTATAATTCGCTGATGCATAGTGCTGTCAATTTCATACATATTTTAGTGACGCAGAGGGAATAAAATGCATGTGGCTTCTAAAGAACCAAAATCGTTTGAAAAAGTATGTCTCTATCGAAGCAGACGGTAATTCACACTTAGCATTATCCGCTGTTTAAAACTAATGGCGTGAATACTGTAGCATAGAACTGGATAATGGATCATAAATTAGTCGGAAAATATAATGTAGATGCACCAAACGCATGGGTGAGGGTAAATTTGTTTACACTAATTATAGCGAATGTTATAATATCGAAACAGAGGGTCAATAGACAGTTTTCTACACTACAAGCTCTCTGACGTCATTATAATGCATGGGAGTGTGTAAGATTTTCTCCATTACACATAGCACATTCATAGGCCTATGCACATGATGGTTAAAGTGCTATCTAATTCACCCTGACGTCGGCCTATCTAAATGCATTTTGAATATTTTGTAATCTCAACAAGACATCTCTAAATGATTATATAAAGCTGTACGAAAGATTGGAATGACGTCATAATTATGCTCGGAAAATAATTACACACTTGGGCTTATATATATATATATCTTATAGAACAAACAAAACAAAATACTGTACATTCGGGGTCAACTGTGACGATGTTTTCTGTTGTCGTAATAACGAGTTCTATCCAGGGTATTATAAATACAAAAATATTTGCTTTTAGGCAGAATTCAAATTGAGCTCTCCTTTGGGACTTGCGGCATTCAAATAATCATTATAAACACTTCTCTGCCCGTTTAAATATTAATGATATTCTAACAAGTTTACCGTACCGATGTAATATTTCCTCCGCTGTGCTGTTAAATATTTTAAAAACCTGCTGCATGTAGGCTACGGCGTAAACATTATCTGCCATACACTTTATTCAAATTTGGTTAATCACTTTTCTGGGGTTCAAACACATAGCCTAACATCATAATGTTTTGGCGATAATTGTACCGTTACATTGCAAAAGGCCGTTAAACTTAATGCTATTAATGCCCGTCGAACACATTCAAATACACCAAATCATTATTTCACTTGAGGAAGCTACCTGGAATATAAATCGCCGTTATGCTTAATTTATGTGACGTGCTATTTCCACCAAACTAGGGATTACAGTATAGTGGAAAGGTGTACTCATTGCGGCAGTGCTGACCTCTAGGGAGGATGTTGGCAAGTTCGCTACAATTGAGTGTAGAGTAGTTGTTATTAAAATAACAATTTCAATATAAATCAATACCAATATCAATACCAATAACCAATTGTACCACCAGTACCAATACGAGTACCAGTACCAATATCAATACCAATATCAGTAACAATATTAATATAAGTACCAATACTAATCAATAGCAATACCATTATCGGTAACAATATCAATATAAGTACCAATACCAATATTAATACCAATAGCAATACCAATATCAGTAACGATATTAATATAAGTACCAATACTAATCAATAGCAATTCCATTATCGGTAACAATATTAATATAAGTACCAATACCTATATCAATATCAATAACAATACCAATATCAGTAACAATATTAATATAAGTACCAATACTAATCAATAGCAATACCATTATCGGTAACAATATTAATATAAGTACCAATACTTATATCAATATCAATAACAATACCAATATCAGTAACAATATCAATATAAGTACCAATATCAACACCAATAGCAATACCAATATCAGTAACAATATTAATATAAGTACCAATACTAATCAATAGCAATACCATTATCGGCAACAATATTAATATAAGAACCAATACCTATATCAATAACAATACCAATATCAGTAACAATATCAATATAAGTACCAATACCAATATCAACACCAATAGCAATACCAATATCAGTAACAATATTAATATAAGTACCAATACTAATCAATAGCAATACCATTATCGGTAACAATATCAATATAAGTACCAATACCAATATTAATGCCAATAGCAATACCAATATCAGTAACAATATTAATATAAGTACCAATACTAATCAATAGCAATACCATTATCGGTAACAATATTAATATAAGTACCAATACCTATATCAATATCAATACCAATATCAGTAACAATATTAATATAAGTACCAATACTAATCAATAGTAATACCATTATCGGTAACAATATTAATATAAGTACCAATACCTATATCAATATCAATAACAATACCAATATCAGTAACAATATCAATATAAGTACCAATACCAATATCAACACCAATAGCAATACCAATATTAGTAACAATATCAATACCAATCATCATCAGTAACAATATCAATAAATATACCAATATCAGTAGCAATATTAATACCGATATCGATAACAGTACCAATATCAATACCAGTACCATAACCAATACTAATATAAATACCAAATTCAAATACATAAATCATTTGCATATTCGCCAGCAGCACCAATATAAGTCAACACATTGCAACCGGTTAGAATTCATACTTGAAGGTCTTTCAATACTACCTCGGAACATAATAATCGTACGTGAAATAAACTGAACTACCCGTAAAACTTAACGACGAATTAAGGTCGGCTTTTTGGAGTTGCGTGTCATAAATAATTCTTATATAATTTAATGACAATATTGCGTGAGACGTGGGTTATGTTAATATAGAAAGTACAAGACCTATGAGAAGTAATTTGATCTTGAAACTTTGTTAATAGTGGGATCGTTTTTTGCCTTTGGGCCCAGAAAATATAATTCCGCCGAGATATTTTACCATAGTTAAAAAGTCTTCATAGCTGTGTCTAATGTGCAAATCTCAAAGAGTAGGATAATGCGTAAGGACGATTAAGATGCCGCAATTTTCGATATGACCTTTTTAGGGCCATATACAAAAGTAATTAATATTTATATAGTTATGGATGCATAAAGGGTTTTGTTAGAAATTAATAATGCTGTGGGACATTCCCGTGTGTTTAATTGGCGATATAATCTCTATAATATATAATATATATATATATATATATATATATATATATATATACATATCGCATATATATATATTATACATAGGATTATATATACTACCACATAAACTAAAATAGAAAATATAGAATAAGTAGAATTTCATAATCATAAAACGTATGTGACTATAGGCCTAATGAAGCATAACATACTAAATTAGGAGATGGTTTATAAAACTACACCTGACGTTTTGTATTACGTAGATGATATATAAATTGACGAGTGTTTCAAAATGTAGTCGCATCAACGAACGTACATATCCGTAACTCTCAGTATAATTTCAGTCAAACTGGCTCTTTGATTTTTATAGTCAGCGTTCTAAAGGTCACATACGTGGGAGATTTCTATGTGGCTGAATAAATATATGACATTTAAGATCTATACGAAAATGGTTTCAAATAAAACAAATACTGACTTAACTCGCACATTGTACAGATATCATCAAGTTAAAATATGAAATAAGGATCGAATCATATGATAAAGGTTAATATTGGAATGGTATAATGTTACATGTCGCTTAAAAGATCGCAGTCCAATTCTCACTCTTCTACAGATTGAAGGAAGGAATTACAAAATCAATATACAAAAAATAACTGGAATTATGTGGTCAAGCAACAATTAAAAAAAATACACAAATGCATAGAATTTACGGGTCGTAATTATATAAAAAAAAATATATATTACAATCTACAAATAAGACGAATAGACGTCTTTAACACGATTTCATACATATAGTATATAAAAAGAAATATTTGGTAACAAAACATCTCTTTGAGATAAAATCGCTAGCATAAATATATTGGAGTTACATAATTAACATATTTAATTTACAGAGCCGCCGTTCTACAGCGTCGCGAGTTAATCAATACGGATGGCATAAATAAACATAATATATTTAGGTTACTGACGGGCTCGACATTCTGAACAGTCATCTTTCGTTGATGCTGCTTTTCCTGATCAGAATCTATTTTCGTTCAAGCAATACAATGAATTCATAAACATTGCCTTAATCTGTTGCTTGCAGAAGGTAAAATATCGTTTATGAGTTGTATTAATAGCATTTCCCCCTGATTTACATACCATTATACAAATGAATGGATCTGTTTTATCGTTATGGAAAATAATTGCAGAATATAACTTATCGTGTATACCCGAGGGATGTACTAAGTACTACTGGATAATACTGTCCTAATAACGAATTTTTAATTACCCCCCTCCCCTTCACTCACACGCCACCAACACATACTTGCACGTCTTTTTCATTTCAAATAATATGCTATATCGTTCCCCTTTTAATAAATTACAGATTTTAGGTTATAACGCAACCTGAATACTGAATAATATTGCTCATTAGTATAAAGAATATGGTACGTTATATTATCCGAGAACAGCACATAATTTACGATATACTTATGAATATATAATTAGCGCTATTCGTATCCGTTCACTAATGCGAGACTTCGTGTAGTGAAGCTTGAAAATTGACGACTCGGATTCGATAACGTTGCATTGGGGATTTGCTCTGGATGTTGACTCATGATTCTGCAACAAAAATCCATTCCATAACACATTTGATGATTCCCCCACCCCCATACAGTTGTCATGAATATTCTGCAAACAAACATCACTTATTTGATAACCCCACGAGTACTTTTTGGCAGCATAATTAACCGATCAGTATTCTTTATTTTATATTCATTATCGTTTAGGTTAATTAGCTATGCTTTCTTGTTTTAAAGAATTCCTATAGTTCGAATTTCCATGCGCAAAGTATAACAGACATTAACGTTAATGCGCTGCGAGGTACAACATTTGTTATGGTTTCATTCTGACTAGTATTTTAGTCTTTAAATAGCAAAACGGTATGAGGGAAAATTGTATACAGGCGTTTACATCTGGCCAGCATGTAAACTCCGTGTTGGCAGTCCAAAGAATCGTGTTACACCAGCGGGAGAAATCATACGCAGTGGGGTGGTAATTTTGCCGGTATTTCTGATCGAGTCTCGATGCGACTATTATTTGCCAAGTGCCAAGACGAAGAGGTTGGGGTTTAGTGTGTTTACCTTTTTGAATATCAAAATAACGTTTGGGTGATCGGTAATTTAATATTCTCCACTCAATACCGGACTACTGTAGACCTTCTATAACCGACTTCATTCTAGAATTGTGACTATAAATATACATTAATGTACATAATAACATCCGCATCGATTATGCCATATTAATAAGTGGGAATTTGTCGGCGTCTGGCCGATACAGCTCTCTCCACAAAACAATATGCGTCTAGACACACTTCTCGATATTAAATAAATAATTATACAGAAAATGTTTGTAGACATTGCACAATTTGGAATTATGAGATAACCTACTTAATAAAGTTGGGGCACCTCATAAGTCATAATAGTCATAGTTCTAGGCTTTCGCCATGGGTCTGCATCAGACCTTTAGACATACGGAAGCCATGTGATGGGGTCACGAATCGTACTGGAGATCTGTCAATAAATCCATGCTTACTTTGTTTATATAACCGGTGGGTTTAATTTCCTCTTTAAAAAAATGACTCTTTTAAACCTTAGCATATGATTTCAAATCAGCAAGCATACTTGTAAAAAAGTTCGAATCGCGATTAATCCGCAGCATTTTCCCACTACAGTCATTGACAATTTTCAGACATCGGTCCCAGAATTTCTCACGGCTTTCCTCCACTAGAAATGGTTTCAATGGGTAACTGATTTCATTGCCCATGTAACTATACGACAAATACAAACAAGTAAGCAGCATACCTTGCAACTCCTGGGGTTTTCTAACGCGGGATTTTGTCAGAAGTTCGCGCACCAGCATGAATACGAAGACAACGTTTGGCGATGAAAGAAAGTTCACATCTTGCCATCCTTGTATAAGTAAAGAACGATCGACGGCTCGGAGCCATACAATCGCTTCTGATGTGTCGAAATCTTTTAGATATGGGCAATGAAATCGTACAAAATTTGCTAAACATTTGAGAAGTTCACTGGTGGAGGATTGCACAAATTTTCTACTGGTGATCAAACTACTGGAGCGGACGTTGTGCCCGCTCTGAGACTTTCGTAATGATGATGCAGTTGAGTAGGTGAAAGAAGTTGTGGTAACAGAGTTGCTTGGCCTGATGTTCTGTTGTGTAACAGAGGGCTTAGGAGGTTGAGATGTAGTGGTTAAGTTCGCTATCGCCGTATAGTTTGCATTTGAGCTGGTGTTGAGATTGAAACAAGAAAACGATTTCTTTATACTCGAATCCAGATCTTCAGCATTTCCGTTTGAATCTAGTGTGGTCATTGGAATCAAATTGGATCGTGGAATATTATTACTTGTCTTTGGTTTTAAAACATTGTTATTTGCCTTATCCGAACTCGTTAATCCCATATTCATGCTATTCGTATGATTATTAGCAATTGTTGTACTTACGCTGGTTAAAGGTATATGGCCAGACGACTTTTTCTTTCCCGATGGATTGAACATTTTCCATCCAAGGTTACTGATGAAAATGGAATGCTTACGCATAGACTTCTTCTCCGTGTTGGCTGTACTGCTCCCGGTCGATATCGAGGTAGAATCCCTAGAATTTGAGTTAAAATTTTTCGAATTATAGAATGCATTAATATTACTCATAGTCAAGCTGCTTGTTTCGCTATAATATCCACAGTCCTTCTGACGGGGTGAGAGGGAGAGCACTGTACCCATGGTGACGATTTAGATGAAGATGACGACGGTGTTGTCCTAATTAAACAGTGTACACAGATGGGACTTAGGATGATGCCGTCGAATATTATCCCAAGATAATGATCAAGGGAGTCGCATTTAAAAATTCCAGGCCAGCTTGCCAATGTCTGACATTGAGGGCACTTATTCGCTGCAGCCAGCGACACTGTCTATGTGCCTAGTACGAAGCACCGTCTGCGGAGTAGAGCCGTTTCCGTGATATTGCATTCCATAAACAGCTGTGTTACGTCGCCTTCTTAACATAGGCTTGTCGCTGTACATGCGCGATTCTCGAATCTTATTGGTCAATACGGCACCGGCGCTCACTCCTTGAGAAAATTCATAATGATATTACAGTAACTGTCAATTTAGCTGACGCGGTTCAGGTATCGACATTTTTAATGAAACTAGCCTGAGTTCTTGGCTGCTCATTAGATTAATGAGCTCAAGGATATATCTCGAATAAGACTATTCTCAATAGAAATCCCAATGAGATGGGTACTAATCCAGCTTCAAAGTCTCTTAAGCTACGAATATAGCTATATTACTAACATGATATTAGGCCCATCATTAGTAAAATATTTTTTCTTCATAGATAAGCCTTTTTAATTGAACCTAAAATGATTGCAACTTAGCAGCATGGTTGATAACCATCAATAAGAAACGGATTCTCTATTTTTCTATATTTATATTGTTGCTATTTCAAACGTTCCCTACCAAATTAGTTACTTTAAATAGTTTACAGGTTCCAGTATATTTCAATTCGACGTATGTTTAAGTTATCAACATTCATTTTACGCATTCTTTCAATTCTTGTACAATGTGATTCATTTCCGGATCTTGTGTTATTAACAATGAGTCACTGATTGAATATCTCATAATTATGTCGAAATATCATATCAACATTAATTATAGCGCACACAGGCCGCTCTTTGTGATATATATTATTTACAAAATGAGTCATTTTTGAATGAACTACGATATCGTATCGAATTCACGAAGGGTATAGAGGATGCGAACGCTTGTTTAAGGACATCTGTTGTTTTGAAGGAACAATACTGTACTGCAATAAAATGCTTATAATCTAACTCGTAAAATATGTAGTTTGTAGTGCTTTTCTGCTACTTTTGTCTTTGAAATAAAGTGGTTCTGAAAGCCGGGTACGCCCTAGTACGGTCGTTGGCCAACGCGATTCTATAAGAACGCAACGCCACGACGTGCGCGCAAAGGATCGTTTTGAATGACGATCGGTTCAGACTGCTCGTTCAGACTGTCATGACAATCAGCAGACGGCGTCGGGTCGTCTAACAGGAAGCGGAGTTGGATTCGTAATACGACCGTCGTACATCGCAATGAGTGCCCGGCTTAACATGCACGAGTACAGTGCGAGGAGCGGGTCCTACACAATGTAAATCAGCCGGTCGTCTATCACAGTCAATTACGGATGCTTATTTATACAGTATTTCCAACAGGTATAGAAATATAAATGCGGGATCGAAGTTAACTATGACGTCAGCTCATGATATTAACCTTAACGATCGCAAATATAATTATTTATTGGTTTATTACTTCTCCCTTGACAACTGACCATTCTTTTAAGAGCTAGCTTTTCCGATTAGGCATATCTAAAACAATTTGTAACATTTGTTATGGGACTGTATAGATATTTATGTAATGGTGCCGTACTATAAATAGGGCAGTACTTTCAGTTCCATAGAATGGTAAGACTGAAAGTTCTCCTGTTAGGCACCTGAAATTAAAATCACACAGAGTTTGGGCCGAATGTAGGCAGAAATTAAATGTCGCTAGATATTACTGCTTTTAAATTGCATTCAAATTCGGTTAAATATGTATTTTTTAGAAGAGGAGGTCGAGTTTATATAGTGGTTTGTGGGTGTAATGCGTTCCAACACACATTGATTGGAGTGCTTTTATAGAAGGCCTATCTTTCAACACACAGCTAGGCCTATTGGTTTTCTTTTAATTTTGTAGACCATGAAGTCTTTAGTAAGAAGGCCCATCTTACCTATGTAATACATTTTGAAAGACTGATTTTATCAGCCTACAGACCTACACAACACTGGCCTTTCTTTAGGAATTCTATTCGTTTTTGCGATAGACGTACACATTTCTGTTAGTTTCAATTCTAGTTGTATTTTTAACGGGAAACCACGTTTTTACACCTTTGTCTCCTTTTACTAAATTGTTGGCTTTCATTCTCAGTTCCTCGACAACTAGGGATTTACGTGTAATTCCATGCATGCGAATACAATACTAGAGAATCTTAAATCTAGTTACCGAGAAATCTAGCTGAGCATATCAACATATTTTAGACAACATAATGTGTCTACTAAGTGAATGTCAAGTTGTGCTTGCAGTTCGCAGGAACGGATGATTCGTTTGACTCTAAGGCGACCATTTGGCGCGTAAATCTTAACATAGAGAAACGATGCAGAAAGCAATGTGTCTTCTATATTGAGTGAAGCGTGGGAGGACCATTACGAAATCGCTTATGCACTTGCTTCAGTAACACGGCAGTGCTCTAAGTACGCCTCGGCAAAAACGTTTAGCATACTACCCTTTTATAGCCATCTTTATTCTCTAGAAATTTATCATTGACGTCTTAATGTGTCAATAAATAAATGAATCTACCGTAAATGAAATGTGCAATGTAGGGACTAAGTCAAGATTGCACTTGGATAACTGTACCATCGTATTGTGTTAGAGAGGTAAAGTAATGTTAATTTTTTATTTTTTTTATTTTTTTTTTGGTTTTCGGCCAAATGTTCCACAATTGTTAAACAAACAAAATAAAATACCTATATTTTAGGGTATTCCTCATAGTGAAAAGCCACTGGAAATGTTCAGGCGTACACTCGATGACGACATTGTGATGTCACTGCATAGAGGGGGCTATTATATAGCCGAGGGCCAGGCGATGAATGAGTAATAAAATATACTGTATACTTAGTATAATTTTAAAAGTATAATTTTATTGTGAATTATAACTCAACACCATCGTAAATGTTTTTATTACTCAAAATTCAATTCATATTGAGACAGGTACATACAAAATCGAAGCAATAAAGCCACGACCATAATTATTTTTACATTTCTCAAGCGCCTAAGAACATAGATGCAAGAAAATAGCAATTTTACTTCCTGCTGAGGTTAACAGAATTGTTTAACACAAAACAGAAGTGTATCACCTAAGGATTGTTGAACAACATTTTTAATATACTTAAACCCCAACTGTTATACCCCCATCTTCCTCCTCCGCTACACAAACACTTTTACACAACCAACACGGTACACCGACATCTGTCGATTGCGGATCGTGTATTCTACTGCAAAACACAAAACAAAACACTGCATGCGTCGGTGACGAATTCGTACGCCTTCTGTGAGTGCTTGCTCCACGCAACGCCTGTCCGCTCACCGTCGTTGAGAGTGGATAGACGTTGGAAATGATTCGTAGGAGTGTCGATGGAGTCCCATGGATCGCGTCGGCTGGGCTGCCGATATCGACACAGTGTGCGCCGGGGTTTGCAGATAACGCAGATTCTTCAGTTACCGTATTCTGCCACCTTCAACATTTTGAATATTTTTGATCTACGTTTAGGAGAAACTAAAATAAAACGTACAACGTGGCTCCACAATCACTAAAAAAAACAAAAAAAAAAACTCGATTTTAATAGAATTATGTTTCCGATAAATACAACGCTTGAACGATAATAAATTACAACTTTTATACCATGTCTGCCTGTGCTGTTATGGACATGATCGATGTAAGTGTTGCCCGTCAAATATAATCAATAATATCCGTTTATGTTACTGAGTTTAATATATGCAACGTCACTGTCAGCAAACGGCAATTTTAGACACAGTAGTTGAAAACTACGAAGAGGAGTTTTGAGATGTAAATTTACCAATGTTCGTGATTAGAGTGGTACCATGCTTTACACAAGTTAATATGAATAGGTATTATTGTATTATAATAATCATCATCGTCACTACCGTCTTGTCATCATCAACAAGGGGGCTTCACAAGCTTACGAAGATAACGAATACGGTCACGGCATCTAAATTTTAGTCGATCCATCCCATACAGTAGCATACCTGTCACATTGGCCATCCAAGCCTTTTAAAATCACCATTATCATTATCCTCTGTCATCATCATCACCGTCATAATTATCACTATCCTTATCGTCACCATGACCACTACAATTATCATCATTAGTATCTTTAGCCTGTTTATCACTAGGCGAATTCATTCGCGCGAATCAAATTTTCGGCAAGCTTTCAGAGCTTTGATTTGCTGCGCATGTTTTCGCTTCACAAAAACCCGATAGAAATGTGAATGCGCATGCGTATGAACTGACGCTTTCGATTCGCGCAAATAAATTCGCCTAATGGAAAACCGGCTTTAGTGGCTGCTGTGGGGAGGGTGCCATTGTCACCCAGCAGCAAGAAAAACCCATACGACCAGCTGAACAACGGGCGGATGGGCTCTTCGGAGTCAACGGCCAACAATAACTAAGTTTAAGAAGTAGAAGTATATTTAGCAACATATTATTTTGATATCATTATATTTTTAAACTTATGTTTCATTGTGATGTGCATAGAGGTCATGACAATAAGCGCCTTGCAAGTCCACCATTAATATTATCATCACCTTCATGGTGAATTAAAAAGCTATATTGACGAAGAACATTTAGTCTTCCCCTTTATGTTCCACTGTTCTTGCATCTTTTTTTATTTCAGTCGGGTCTTTTTTTTTTTTTTTTTTTTTTTTTGCAAATCCGTAAATCACGCTCAATATTAATCACGTATCCCTAAATGTTAGAGATTTAGAAATGCTGAATTAAAGTTGAATTAAAGCCACAATTTTTTCATATACAAATTTATAGCCCATTAATTTACCAATGGCAAATACATCCGGCTACAACTTGAAAATGACAGAACATCGACTTCACAAACATTCTAGCAGTGCATGCAAGATTTGAAGCCTTTTCACTGGTGGGCTTCTGATCCCTTAACAATAACAGTGGCATGATTCCCAAAATGGAAAGAGAAACTAAAACTGAGACTTTAAGACAACACCAGTGGTGGACGAGCAGAAGAAAACAAAATCAAAATATCCCGTATTCATTACGGTATCAATTATTAGTTAAGCTGGGGATTCTTCAAAGGACGAGTGTGATTTTTTGTTTTAAATCACAGTCCGTTAGAGATAATCTTCTGGTTGTCACTGGAGTAAATAAGCTGTAATAAAAAAAATAACCCGAATGATTTCTAATTTTACATTGACAACTGCTATGCAATAAATCCTGCATTTCTGTGTCTGCACATAAAACACAACGAAGGGTTTGATTAGATTCGGCATTTTGAGCGTATTGCTGTAAGCAGAGGGAAGTTCATTTTTCAGCCTCCGGTGTGACGCATAACTTGGTTGTCGAACCATGTAGCAATTTAAGTTATGAAAAAGCATTAGAACCCAGACATGACTTACAATTGATCAGTGTAACGCAATATTCACAGCCTCAATTGGGTTATGGATCATATGTACATTACCTGATTGCATTACATACACATCCAAATCAGAAGTACTCGTTCTGAATTACACGTTACATTTTGTAGGTGCACACCTTTAACTACCAGCGTACTAGGTTCAGTCGACCAACAAAGAAAAACGGGACATTTTTTTTTCTTGACTTGATAAAAAAAAAACATTGATAATTTAGTGAGGTGGGTGGGCGAAAACGTTCTGAAAAACAATTCTCGAGTACACAGGAAGCTTCACATTAATTTCAGATATATTTACAACCGATATTTCTTTGGATTACCCCAAGTTTTTCTATATTAAAAAATCTGTATCTCATTAGGGAGCTTTCGATTTGTGCGACGACGCGACGCTAGAACGTAATCACTAATGCGTGACCGTCCTACCTGGCGTCCTACGCTCTCTCCATACGTAGATTTGGCCAAATTGCGTTCCAGACACTACTCGACAAGGTGACCTTAACATACTCGCATGTGCAGATGACTTTTAGTGACGTCATTACGTTCTACGTCCTACAGTCGTCGTGCAATCGAAAGCTCCCTATAAACCGTTCCAGAGTTTCTAAAACACTCTTTTTTGTGTCTTATAAAAATTAGTTGTACAACACATTAACAAAATTTTTTTTCTTCCAAGCCTGGCTGAAAAAAAAATCTTGCATTTAATAGTATAATTGAACTTCTGGTAATATAAATCGAGCTTCATAACTCCACAACTGACAAAAACAAACAACAGGCTTAACATTATTTGACTGCATTTGATCCATAATTAGTGAAAGAATGTGGCAATATGACTTTTAGACTACAGTTCGAGTCCGCTACCAATCATTTGCTTTAAATAATGTATCCACTGGCAAAAAACCAATAAGTTTATCACTAGTCTTTTTTCATTTATTCACATGATTCCACAAAAACTTTTGGGTGTCACGATTTTTTCACCACGCAACTGTCAAATATACGTTTCCTCAAGATTAGTTTTCTCAAAACTAGCATTTAGCTGTAGGAATTTTCGCTAGCCGGGTAAGGTGTGGATGGCCTTATTTTCACACCCAGGTTCCCTAAAGCTGGTTTTACACTATGCAAATTTTTTTTGCGAGAATCGAAAGCGTCGGTTCAAGCGTATGCACATTCACATTTCTATTGGAGTTTTTCGCTTCAGCAAAATCTATCTGTTTCTACATTTTGCGAAGTGAAAAAATTCGCAACCAATCAGAGCTCAGGAAGCGAACAGACGCTTTCGATTCGCGCAAATAAATTCGCCTAGTGTAAAACCAGCTTTAGAACCGCTTAAGGCTGCTTCTTCGATTTTCAAATGACCAGCCAAACTAAGACAACAACATTTAAATTGTTGTAGAAAGGCAAGGGAGTTTAAATGGGTACCTGGTAGAATACGATTTAGATTTAGCTTGGCTTTCAGGCCAAATTTTGGATTACTCGGATATTGCTATGAAAAATAATCTTTTTAAAGCGCTCACTGCATGCCATAGACAAATGAAACTGGCGTCCTATACTACAATATTGTACAAAAATAATATTAACTAGTGCCTTGCATAATCTCGATGAGTAATAAAAGTGTATAGACATCACTGGCCCCAATATCATAATAAACCACAGAAATATTGCTGATTTACGAAAACAGAATACTGTATTTATTTTATTAAACTTAAGAACAAGTTCCTTCATTAAAACAATACAGGGGAGTTGTTTAAATTGCTGGGTCATTTTGATGCAATGAAAAAGATAAGCACCCTGGGTTGATATGATTCCATGGGGAATGTAACACCAGATCATTTTAATGACGATCCGTTCAGGCTGCCACCGACAATCAGTAGATGCCATTGGGTTACCTAGTGCTCACAGACGGCAGAGTTGGACTTGCCGGCCATTGGTCATATTATGAAGCGAGTGCCCAGCTTAATATTATTGGCAACATAGGACAATCTTAGGCTCAGTATTAATAATAACACTAACATCGGTAAACAAATATAATAGAAAAGAATTATTTATGAATATGAAAAAAGAATAACATAATTTGTTTACTTGACTTTGTTCAGTTAACTGTAATAATTTACGATTTAAAAAAAAAAAACAGCACTTGATTGTCAACATTTTGTAACAATTGGTGCATTAAAAAAACAAAAAATGAACTTACTCAATCAGAATATCAATAATAGTTATAATATATTAATAATGGTAGTGAATGGTTTTGGCAAAATAATGAATTACCAATATCATATGTACATATCTGTTTTAATAAAACAAAAAAAAGAATTATAATACATATAAACTTGCCTAAATCGAATAATTTTACATGCCAAATTGTTGTGTTCTCCATTAATTTACAATCTGTAAGTCGAATATTTTTGTACTTTTTATGTTTTTGAGATGTGTAAACAGCACAACAACATTATTCATATGCCAAAACTATTTATGGCAACCAATATTGCTACAAAAAGAAGCCAGAGATAGAGAATGAGGATTTTACTGTGATTTGCAAAGGGAATGCAATAATAAACTGCAGTCCTAGCTGAAGCAAAGGCCATGTAACACCCACAATATAATACTTCAGTGAAGCTTGTGTGTCTTGCTATACAAAGAGTCGACCACCTTTCCCATGCTCTGTATCGTCTCCAAGGCCATCTCATACGTTTGATCTACTACGGGTTCATCAAACACAATTAAAACGCCTTCGCCTTGGTCCAGAATACCTATAAAACAAAATATGATTAGTCCAAAACAGTTCACAGAGGGAAAAATAAGCTTATATTTATTATATTTCAATGTCCAATTGCAATTTTCTGTTTCATTTTCTACATAAATTACAGAATGAACTTTTAATATAAGCTTTAAATTATAAATAACATTTAAATACATTGAGTAGTTTTTCATCACATAAACTTTGAACGTTCACGACAGGGCGTAATTTATTTAGAAAATATAAGTGAATGATAAGAAAAAATAAGAGTGAAGGATGATGATAGTGGCAAAGTTAACAAAAATGAGATGGCGTGCACAATTCAAGGAAAAACATTGATTAGATAAATCCACTTTACTTAAAAAAAACCAGTTTATGTAAGCAAGTGATTTGTTGCATAATGAAGGTGATTCCATTAGCTGATGTCGAGGAACAATACACAGGTACACAAAGTGACATAATAGGTTTACTACAAACTGAATGAATGTAACAACAATAATAGCAACATATATATCATTCATAATCATAAATTATGAATACTGTAAGAAATTACAAAATGCAAATAGAGTTTAATAATACATTTATTAACTTTTTCAGCCATCAAGATAAAGGCTTAACATAATAAACTAGGTTACTTCATGAATAATCTAAATAATGAATTATCAATTATTATTTTATACATAAATTTAATTAAACAACTTATAATATTTTAAATGACCTTAATAATTGCTCTACAAAAATAATTAATGACATAAAATCATATTGGAGTGTAGGATTCATCATTAAAATTTGAGTGGCATTCTTGAAAGACAAGATTTAACTAATTTGCGGAGCAGTATAAAATTTCAGATAGGTACAATCAATCAAATTGACGCATACCACCCAGGGAGGAGATCGTTAACACATATCTACATGCGGGATTGAGTGCATAACTGCAGAGATGAGCCATTTTTCAAATAGCAGACAAAAAAAAAATGAACTGAAATTAAAGCGATAATTATAATTACCATGAAATTTCTTGTCTAGAATCATTTGCGAAAGCTTCCTTTCCACTAGATCCTGCAATGGAAGACGGTAAGATGATCAGAGATTGAAAGAAAAAAAAAAAGAATAAATAAATCTTACACATTAAATGTTGTTTACATCTAGTAAAAGTTTAGAAATCCAGTTCTGGTTTATTGATGGCTTTTCATTTTAAGGCAAACGCACAGTGTTTTCCATACCAAAATGAAAATCTGTTTTGGAGCAAATGCTTTTTTTCATACTTACAATTGGTAGTTTAATGATGTGGCTTATGTGCTGGACCTGTACGCGTGAGAACGGCTCAATAATACGACAGAGATTCTGTTCCAATAGATTGTCATACAGGGAGTCAAGGTGGGCCTGGATTATCGTATCCTCCTGTAGTTCAACTCTGTAATTTGTAAGAGCCTGAAAAATCAAACCAATGCAACAATATGAGTTTCTAATAAGGTAATTGAAAGAGTGGTCAGCATTGTTTTCATTGCACATTTTGCAGGGGTAAGGTCAATAAATTTACTTCAGTCACAGTTGAATATCTAGGACTATTATCATTGTCAGCCGGGGAGGGGGGGTGATAGGGCAAAACAATAAAGGATGAGGTGCTTCTGTAACTTGGGGTTGGGGACGATGTGCGAAAAAAATTCAAATTAATATCATTTGAATTTTGGTACAACAAACTTCAGGGGTGGATCCAGAGCAAAATTTGTGTTGGGTTGGGGGGGGGGGATGCGCAGTGTGAAGCAATGAGCTCTGGGGAAAGGGGTGTAGTCAATTGTAATATAAAATCAATATGAGTACGCAGATTAAAACTGTTATAAAGGTATCACCCCACTGTATACTCTCCCTCAGTTTGATCCCCTTATATGTATGTCATTAGATGCTTTTGTTGTCAGGTCAACATCTATAGCCCTTACCCATGCTAAACTTGCATATTTGTGTTTTATGTCCCAAGTGTCAGCCTTGGGCTAATAATATATAAATATTGTCATTAATTTTCCAACTAGCTAAAAGGTTTGAAACATCACAATAAAAATATTATTTACTTATTTTGGATCTGTTTGTTTCCTTAGTGCAATGACTGACAAAAGCTTCATAAATTTAATATTGATATTTTTCTTTGTTTATAAGGCATAATTCGGTCAATATACCAGGTACCTCACATCAATATAAGGATTAAAAACGTATAATCCATATAGTTGTAGTAGGTTCTGTCTTATCATAACCAATAAAAATTACATTCATGCATAACATCATTTTGAATGTTTGTAATAGCATGTTGTTTACAAATGTTTTACAAGGCAGCTGGTAAGTAATGTTTGAAGATGGTGTTTTCAAATTCTCCTGACCTCACCAATAATAAATAAATAAGTAAATTTTTATATGCTCTAACAAAATTAGGGAAATAATTTAATAAAGTTATATTTATATTATTCATGACCTCACCAATAAGAAATAAATAAAACTAATATAATTCAATGTTTATATGTTCTAATAATTTAGATAATTCAATTGTAACTCATTCTTATGTCAATAAAAATAAAATAATAAAGAATGTAATGTCATCATTGTACGAAAACATGCCAAAACCTCTATTAAAGAGACAATTCCATGTTTTTGGTTAGTGTCCCTGAATAGGGTATCCCTATTCAGGGACACCCGTATTAAGAGGACACTTTTTTGAGCCCCGAAGGTGTTCCCTAGGAGTTCTACTGTATATTGTTAATATATGCATGGAGGAATTAGATTAGATCCAATATATATGCATAATAGGGGTTTGTCAGATTGAGTCGATGTAATATTGAGCAATTTGCCTAAAATATAGCAGTTCCAAAAAGTTCAATGACGTAGTAATAAATGGCAAGATTGCTTACTTATGAATCATGTTTTATATTCTAATTTAAAATATTGTCGTTGTTAGCAACTATCTTATATTCAACAAATATCAATTATGCTGAAGCTCAAGCATCAGTGTTTTACAGTAGAACAGTTTCAATGGATTTGTTTTTATGAATCTGGAATTATTTGTAATATAGAATGCCCACTACGTTTCAATGCATAATAAATTTTATGAAAAATCTAAAATAAATGTTATTAATCGTTTCCATTTTAAATATACCACATATAATCACTTCTTGAATTGCTATTCTTTGAATGAAAAAAATATTTTCAAATATAATCAACATATAATTGATTTGAAAATATTTTTTTCTTTGATAAAAATATTGTTGGACAAAAAGGAACTGTTTTCATTGCTAACGTATTGTATGAATTGATGCTGGGTACATTATTAACATTTTTCGTTATTGAGAAATATTATTATGAAAATTCTTCTGAAATTTGGAATAGCCTTGATTTAACAATTGCTTTTTTTTTTCTGGAAATGCCAAATTGATAATGGAATAATCTCTATATTTGGGATACCTAGCAAGCATACAGTATTGAAAAATAATATTTGAAAGTGAAATAGTGTATTTTTTGGGGTTTCCATATTTTACCCTGGCATATACAGTGGGCAATTTAATATCTTTAGAATTTTTAATGAGCAATCCAACTGTTAAAATTAAATGTACAGATACCATATAGGTGTATATTGCAGGTGACATTTACAGTGTGATGCATACTGGTAACCATTTAGATGTAAAGGTGAAATTATCATTTTATTGCATAAAACAGGTGACATTAACATTTCGATGACCAGTGGCATTAACATTTTGACATACAGAACAGATGTTGCTATCATGTTGATGTACATTAAAAGGGACATCTACATGATAATGACAATGCATCTGCCATTATCATGTAGATGAACAGTCAAGATGGCAATAACATGATATTGACAATACATCTGCCATTATCATGTAGATGTACAGTAAGATGACATTAACATATAAATGTACATTACAGATGGCAATAATACTTAGATGTTTGGATATACAAGTGACATTAACAATTACCATGGATGTTGACAGGCAACATAATTAAAAGTTCATTACAAATGAAAAGTGACATTTAAAAATTAGATTCATACAGGAGAAAAAACAGATAAGATTTATTGTACAGCAAATAACATGAACATTTTTTAAATCAGACTTACTGCACATTTGACATTAGATAAGAATTACAGTAGAGAAAACTTCAACCGCGGAAATAATAAAAGATGTCTTTAAACTGTAGAATAAATCTGCATTAACAAAATGAGATGTGCGTTGCAGATCATTCAAGGTTCGTACAGAGATAATGATGACAATTATGCTAGAAGATGGAAACTATAAATCATGCAGCACTAAACAGCAGCTGATCACTGGAAAGAATAATCTGGTACTACTATAAATAGCCAAGTAATGAATTAAAAGCATTCTAAATAGGGGAATATGTTATTTAAAACTTATTTATTCAAGATACATTTTCAGACAGATGAACTTGTTTTTAACAAAGGTCTTTATCAGTACTGAATCTAATGGCAAATGTTTTTCAGATGACCTCAGAAACTAGTCCCAACCAAAAAAAAGCCATCCTTATACCATAGGTGGGTAAAAAATACTTTAGTTTACTGTATGCCAATATCTGTATTCTAAAGTGCATATCCACACTATCAAATTTTATATGACAAATATATGTGATATGCCCATATTTGGGTGTAATATGACATCATCATGAACATATACAGTATGGGCACATAACGCAAATGTGTCTATATTGGGTAATACAAAGGTGTCAGACACTTCAAAACTAATTATCTATTCCATGGTGAGAGAAATTAATGCCTATATAACTGTAATTGTAAAAAGTTGGTTGCTAGGAGACCAGAACCACATTTCCAAGAATCAATATCTGGCATTACAATCAAACCAGCAGCCACACGAGCATCACACATTATTGCATGAAAACACTAATTATAGTTTTTCTTTTCTGTTATAATTACGTTAAGAATAGCTTGTATAAGGAATTAATTTGATGATGTTGGGCCTGTCTGTAATTTTTGAACCATCATTCATGTTCATTGCATATTTAATCAAAATTGTGGGGGAAGCAACCTTTATAATTAAGCATTGAAACACCATCAAATGCATATTATTCCATACCACTTTCATACTGAATGTTTTTTTGAGAAATAATTAAATATACTTTTTTTTACAGTATAAACTGTTTATATTGACATATCACAATTTCAACTCATTTTATTATTCAGCTTACTTTGCAATTTTCTTCCATCTAATTACATCCTAACATTTTTGTTAGTCTACATCTTCTGGTTGCTAAAAACCTTTAAAAAATTTTACGAAAATAGTAATGTTTGTATCCGTTTATGTCTCTTTATTATGTTTGTAGTTATTAAGGTATTAAGTAAGGTACCGGATCTGTATACAGATTTGTCTCCAAGATTACGGCATTTGTTTGTTAGTTGAACTAGTGAAAATAAATTATTATGATGATTATTATTTGTCAAATTATTTAAATTTCTGTAGTTTTTTTTATTAAGTTGTAATTCTCTCTCGACACAAGAGCATGACATGTATTATTATGGAGACAGAATAACAAGCTGCTCAATTTAGTCAATCAACAATTAAAGAGCACCTGTTAATTTACTGCAAAGAAAAGTGGGACTCTATTTACCTTCTGAAATTCTGAGAGTGATCTGTTTTGACTTGCTGTTGCTATGCTCTTCATAGCTTCCACATTGGACCCAGCATACCGCAATGCTAGCTTACCACTAACTATAGATTGTACATCCTCAGGCCTGAATCAGAAAACAAAGAGTTTGTTATATGTAATGTTGTATAATGCTTTGCTTACCCATTATATATTATACTTACACCTTCAATAAGTACAACTTATTTTTTCTTGCTGATGGTAGAAGGATAAATTCTCACAGGCATTTGCCACACCCTACATATTAATGATCTCTTAAAATCCCCGGCCGCTCAACCTTAGATTTAAGTGCTTTCCATGAAACTTATGTAATGCCCACCAGATCACTAAACTCAGAAGTACACACTAATAGTCCAACTTTTTCTCATTACTTGCAGTATAATCTTGTATCACAATGGAGATAGTGTTGCTTTAAACCTAGCCGACTGCCAATACTTTTTGCTTGCCTGAGCTACATAATAAACTAGCCCTATAATGCTATTGCAATAACCAGCACAATAGCTGAAGTACGGTCATGTCAGAGTACGCTCAACCGATGCAATTAGAGGTAAATGGTACAAATTTTTATTACATACCCGCAAAAGTGTACCTTGAAAAGCGTATTAGCCTTGAACATCAAATAAACTTATATAACAGACAGCATTTATTCCATTTGATAAAGTGGTGAAATGTATTCAGGGATGTCACCACAGTGGTCGGCGGTGGACGGGCCCGTCCAGCACTCAACATTTCCGACCAGGATTTACAGGCTCCCGACCACCACTATTATTTCAACAGTTTACAAATTGTAACAAAATAATTAGTTTACCTAAACACAATACAAGCTAAATTGATAGATAGATAAAGACAATAAGAATACAATAAATGTTTCCGTGGTTACGTTAATTGTAACAAAATACTGCACTGCCCTGCTATTCATCGCTAACTTAACAGCCTAGGCCTAGGCCCAGTTAAGTCATAGCGGACATTGTGGGCTGGCATGACACGGTTGCTCTGTACACATTCAAAGGTTAAAGTTGAAATCGTGACCATTCAAGTGTTTTATTATGAGATCATGGTCCGTGGCAGGAAGAATATTATTGAACATTTACGAAACCTGATTTATGTTTTATTTCTTTACTTTCTTTTCATTTTGTATTTTAAGTTTTTCACTTTTAATTATAATTGATATATAATGTGTGTAAATGGACAAAAAATAAATAAATGAGTGCACATGAATCAGTGACATACACATTCATCGTGGTAATCGTCAAACATGTGAAATTATGGCAAACAATGCGGCTGGGTACAGTCGGATCGACGCTTTGTCGCCGGGATTTGTTCATTATTATTTTTTAATCTAAAACAAAGCATGTCAACTATTGAATTTAATTTAATTAGGCCTACAGTAAGTCTCATCTTCATCTGTTTTGTTGCATTCCTCAAATTCTGGCCTAGGCCTACCTGGGCCTAGCAAAAAAAAATCGCGTCAGCTAGCCTTGGGCTAGGCCCGCTCGACTTACTTAGGCCTTTTGGTTTTTAAGAGCTTTCACGAATACGGCAACCCCCCACCCCCAGGAAAACGGGGGGGGTCAACCCCCGGGAGAATGCGGAATGATTGCCGACCGGCACAGCTGGAGACATCCCTGTGTTGTATTGTATTTCATTTTATGAGTAACGAGTCATTTATGCACACTCCACTTAATTTATATCATCATGTCACAAATAATATATTCTAAAAAAAAGCCCCCTCTAATTTATTGATAGTATCCTGAAACAAAATAGAAAGACTATCTGTGACTTACGAGTTAAGCATAATCTTTGATAACAACATATACTTGAGTGCATCCATGGCCTTAGGGCTATCGATAGAATCATAACCTTCAAAAGCCTCATAGAAATATGAATATGCGGTTTTGAAATCACGTTCATCCGCGGCATGGAGAACACCTAGAAAAGAAGAAGGACATATTATTATCATTCAATGTTTAATATGATGATCATTATTATTAAAATAATTTTGAAGGTTTGCATAGTGAGTAACAATAATAAAAATAATTTGGCTTTCAGTACACCGTGTATAGGATAACATTACTGTATTCCCATCCAGACAATAACAAAAACTACCACTGAGGACTAAATACAAGCACACAAGGCCAGGAAAAAAGGTATAAAATCATATACTGCTGCCCACAAATATGAGTGGTTCAATGGAACAACTATGTCAATGCAGTATAAGATTATGCGCGTCACAAGCTACCATCAATTTCACCCTTTAACTCACATGGCTGGAGGCTTAATGTCACAATTTCTTGACAGGAGATGGGTGATTGCGATACCTCCTGCAAAGTGGCAGTGGATAATAGTATGCCGTCCGAAAATCGATTGTGTGTTATAAATTATTATTACATCATCATGATATATATTATTGTTTGTATAATTCTTTTTGCATTGCTTTATTCTAAATTGTTATTTTCAGTTTTTGTACATTCTCATCATTTTCTGCAGCATTTGTGGAAACCTATAATTAGAGTTGGTTGCAATAAAAATATTGAACACAATTATTATCATTGTTTTGTATTATCACCATTATTCATATACACATAATGCAATTATAATTGTTACATCATACACAAATACCTATATTTCTAATCTATAATTAGCCAGTATAGTTTATAACCATAATTAACAACATATTACACAATCACGAAGCCATATCAACAATCGTTGAATCAGTTCATGAATACTGTACATAAAACACATGATAATTAAAGCTAAAATTATTGATACACTCTATTTATACCAAGCAACTATATAACAAAACACATTAGAGACAAATCCTTCAGTGGTTGCATAAGCCAAAAGAAAAATATGGTGTGTATATATAATATAAGCTTCGTTTTTGCAAAAATATATATTTTGCAACTACGAAGGAGCAAAAAATACATATACTGTATGCTCATCATCAAGTGATCAGCCAATTGGCAGGTTCATGGCAACCACTCCCACCCTTTCTTCCCATCTAAAGCCGCTGTTTTTAATTGTTCGTATGTGTTTCTCTTTTTTATGTCATCCAGGAAAGCACATCTCATTCTTCCTCAAGTTGGTCTTCCCATATCGACCACCTAAGACAATTTTTAGAAGGCAATCCTGTAGAATTGAATGTCCAATCCATTCGTGTTTTGCTTATTTATTCTTTTTAATATTTGACTCTTTTCATAGACTTCATCCGGGACTACATTTTTTGTCAGGTCAGTGTATTTCATACATGTACGTTTTTCTCGTTAGTTACTTTACTGTTGGAATAGTTTACTGTATATATTGTTAATGCCACTTCCATAGATAAGTTTGCCTTTTAAATGTTATACCATGTTAAAACGATTAGATGAGGTCGAAGAAAAAACAAATTGGGTGTCAAAATTTAGGCTATTGCTAAATATTCATGGATTTGGGCATGTGTGGCTCAACCAGGGTGTTAGTAACAAACTGCTGTTTTTAAAAGCATTTGAACAAAGATGTAAAGATGTTTATTTACAGGAGTGGAGAGCACAAACAGACTCACGTAAACATTGTTTTTATCTGCACTACAAGCACTTTATTCAAATTGAAAATTATTTAAAATCAGTAACCATATTTAGGCATAGAAGATGCATTACAATGTTAAGAACCTCATCGCATTATGTTAAATGTGAATATAAGAGGCAATGATGAGTCAGTGCAACTATGCCGTATGTGTGATCAACAAGAATCAGAAGATGAGTTCCACTTTTGTCTTGTCTGCCCTGCTTACAAGACGCATAGGGAATCTTTGTTGAGTAAATATTATTGGAGAAATCCCACATTATATAAGTTTTATGATTTGTTAACTAATGAACATGCGCAGGTCAAAATGGCTAAACTGTTATATGTTGTATTTAAAAAAAGAAAGTCCTCATTAGAAGGTACTACATGGTAATATTATTTTCTATGGGCCGGAGGCCTAAGGATTTAAATAAAGGCAGGCTAAAATTATGCATGGAAGATGTTTAAAAGGCCTTCTTGAAACACACTGGCGAAACCACAGCCTGGTGTGTGAACCTTATTCAAAGTGGATATCTTAGAGGGACTCACAAACCTTTAACAGTTTTCCAATCTAAATGTCACAGTAAATCAAGCTAAAAATGCCAACTATTAGTGATCCTTTGGCAACAAAACAATATTTATTTTGGGCCTTAATTATTACCTGATTGAAGATCCAGTGCTGCTTGTAGTTTCGGAGGGCAGTAAATGGCGTTTGCAGTGGTTCTTGCTGATGTCAATGCTGCCCTAGAAAAAAAAAACAGAGGTCATTATTAAACAACAAGAGGAATTATGTCTAACGGATTGATTGACAGACAAAATGATATATTGACTGACTAATCCAATTCATTTGTCCTTAATAAAAATTATAAATTATGACACTGACATCATTATAAGTCATGAAATTTAATGTACATTTAGTATTTAATGTTTATAGGCATGTAAATAAGGACAAATTCTTATTCTTGAATATGACCCAATTTATAGAGTAAAATATTGAATCACAACATATTTTCATGTCTATATCATATCTGACATACTTTCACCTAATGCATGTAGTAGATTACACAAAGGAGAAAACATTATAAAATAAAAAATACACCATTATTTTGTGCACAATAAAAATTATATATAAATTAAAAATTACAACAGTTTATATTGTAGCATCAACAGAGATTCAAATGTTTTTTTCTCACACACAAAAAAAGCATTATTATTGAGGGAAGCAAAGAGAAAACAATATCAATTATCAAAAGCCTAAAATCCAAGAAAGAGGGTGCTACTGCTAAGCATAAGCACGAATTGTATGTAATGATTTCTTTCTTAAACTTTATTTAACGAGGGTGTGCCTAACAGCAATGCTGTTTGGTTTAAAGGGGCCCTCATGTAAAAACCAACAAAATCAATTTGAAAATACAATAGTTAATAATATTCAGCCTGAAATAAAAATCTAATTTACAAGAAAAAAATGCAAAATATAATTTTTAATTATTCAAAATATGAAGTTAAACTTGAAAAAAAAATATAACAGTTATAAATATAATTAGATAAATAAATTCATGTTTTTCCTAAGATGTTACAATAAAACACAAAATTCATTATAACAATTAAAATTTGTAGAATATTAAAATTGTGATAATTACAATTATTCAAATTTAAGCCATTGCAAAATTCATGCGTAAGGTAAAGAAGCATATGTACAACAACACTGGCATCAGAATTAACCTTAAATATAAATAGGAATGAAAATGATAAAAGCAAAAGGCTAGCAGGAAAGAAATATTAAATGATACGGTTGGAGAAAATAACCAATAAAAAGTCAATGAAATTAAAAATGATTAAAAAAAAATTATGTATAAACTAAGATATGGCTCTTGATAATTTACTAAAAACCACTGGAAAACGTACCTAGATTTTTGTAGGTTACTCAAGGCATGGTAAACTTTACTTTCAAGAAGTTGTACTTCAACAAGAAGGGCCTTATCATCAAGCTTCTTTAGTTCCTTGAGCAGAACTGAGCCTGTGGGTCAAAAGCCAGTAGAAAATAAATATTTAATAATACATTTCTAGTATGGTCACTTAAAGTTGAGGAAATTTTCATGTGAAAGGCTTGTGATTTGTACGAACCAAAAAATTGAATATTTTTGCAGTCGAAGATCTCAAACTTGTGAAATAACTGTACTGCAACAAAAATTTGTAGGTGAAAATTATTGCAGTGTGTCCTCCACTTTTTAATTAAAAAAAAAAGTAAAGTCACACAATAAAAGGATTAAATTAATTATAAATATTAATTATAGAAATTTGTGATTTTTTAGAATTCAAAATTTACATTCTATTTTTATCTGGTAGCGAAAACATTTATTTCTAGGAATCATGATCAAAATAGAAGTAGTTTGTTACAATTTTTATTCAAAACAATAAGGTATTGGCAGCGTAGAACCATTACGCAAAGCTACAAATCTAATTTAATATAATATGTGATTCGCAGTTATAAAAAACAATCTATTATTCAAGAGAAAACAACACTTTACATTGATCATCTTGACAGCTTCTTTGAACATCATCTTCTAAGATTGTTTCCTTTTTTGATATATGGTATATATATCTTGATGTTTGTTTGTTTGTAGTAGTTTTATGTTTGTGTAAAGTGTAAACGTTTTGATGCTTCTTTTTACATTTATTTTTTCCAATTCTGTATATTTTGTATTTTCAAATGTATCTGTAAATTCCTCCCAATTCAGTTTTATCGTAACTGCTATGAGAAATAGAGTTATCCTAAAGCTTGACTTGATCATCTAACTTACCAACAGAGAGAGCTTCCTGGTATTGCCTTGTGTCAAAATACAATGCAATAAGCCTAGCTTCCAAAGCCTGCCTGAGGAATGTCCTCTTTTCTTGTTTGGCCCATTCGATACATTCCAAGCAGAGAGTCACCTACAAGAGCCAAAAATATATGTCACCACTAATACAAATATTATTACTACTATAATAATATTGAAACTTCCAATGTAAATGTATTCTAACAATATTATCTGTTAAAAGTATCCAAAATATCAAGAAAAACTTCTACAATTTTACATGCTTATATATAATAATTATGTAACATGAGACTAAATTATTACACATTATGCCATCATTAATTAATTTAATCTAATCTTGTTTTTCTAACCTGTTATCTAATGCATTTTATTGATCTTTTATGTAAAGATAACATTTTTACATAACAATTTTAGATTGTGACTGCTGTCAAATGTTTTTTTTTTGTTTTATGAATGTGCATTAAAATATCTCAAAAAACATTCTATAAGTCTGAGATAAAAAAAAATCAGTTTTGAATGACTTACAGACATTTAATTTTATGACCAAATCTTCAAATTTACTGCCAGGAAATTAAGGGTACCAGTATATGCAAAGACTATAACTTAAGAATGGAGGTTCGTAATTGGCGAGTAAAATTTTGTGTAAATTTCGAAAGCTAATAATTTATTGAAATATTATTCACTTTTTTAAAGTTTGAAGTTTATCTCTCATTCAGAGGACAGTACCTATAACAACTATTTATTAATTTTGAAAAGAGTACAATATACTGTGGGCTAGGCACCTATGGAGCCTCAGCAGCGCAGTGCAGCAGCAACCCTTAGTGGTAGAAGTAATAATAAAATAAAATAAAAATAATTATTATAAACATCAAAAATAACAAAAAAAAAAAAAATTTTTTGAATTCATTACAAATATTACATACTCATGGCAATGATAATATATTTTAGTTTTTAGTGATTTCTAATCAGTTTTAGATATTTTGTCTGTTGTTATCTTTAGGCTCAGGTTTTGCTTTTCATTGGAAGACACTTTTATTTATTTATTCATTCATTAGAATTACTAATCAAGAAATTAGCCAGAGGCTTAAAATGCATGTTTGAATAATTAAATAATTTAGGTATTACGACAGCAATCTCAGAAGGCAATTATCCAAGAATTTTCAGACAAAAATTATTTTTTCATTACATTATAATGTGGCCATATTGAAGTCTTCTTACGGCACCAAAAATTAAGAGGAAAACAAGATTAAAATTAGATCCTACATTGTAGAATTAATTCATAGTGTACCCATAATATTTGTGTCCTATTTTAGGATATAAAATAACTGTATTACTGTATAGATTAATGATCGAATCAATCAAATTTATGCATAGATCAGAGTATTTTGCAGGGAACCTCAAAATCAGTGAAATTGCATGAAAATTACATTCAATCTGGAGAACTGGAGATTTGTTTAAATAACTAGCAAGTTGTCAGGTCTGGATTAGACTAACACCGCTCATGGTAAAGTAGCCATTTTATTCGCTCGCTACAAAAATCAAAGATTTAACAAGATAGCGCACTCAGTGATTTTAAGCATAACAAATAGAAGTGATGATGTACAGTAAAAAGGAGCATAAAAATTGTTTATGAGAAGGCGTCCTATTTGTTACAATGGTTGTTACAGAATTTGCACGCAGAAATCGTGATATGCACTCCCTTTAGTTTATAAGATCTTTGATGTCAAAGTAATTGTTTTTGCTAGAGGGTAGATGCAGAAGCAGAAATTGAGGAGTGCGCTATCTTGTTAATATAATATTATAAGATTTTTAACAAGAATCTACTATGCATTATGCAATAGAGGGCGGCAAACATGATTATGCTACAACACTCAGTCTTGGTACTTACTTCATTGCCAGTACTTGCTTCCATGTCTAGGAACAGATCGACCAAAGCACGAACCAGTTTCGCTGCTTTGGCTTTGCTCACTAATGCCAGGAAGGGACGGGTGAACTTAATCAAACCACCAAGTTCTAAAAGGGTAATAAAAATTAATATATTAAAGAGCATACTGACTTTTCAAGTATCACTCTTTGTTTATGATTGGTTCAGATCTCAATGTCATCATATCTGAAAAGATTTTTTCTTCTGCTGTTTGACCAATCAAATTATCTTGCACCTTTTACTAGATCGCTAGAGTTTTCGAAGACCCATGTCTCTTCTCTTTGATACTTTTAAATTTGTACAGTACTAAAGTTAGCTTGAATAAATTTCAAGAAAGTGGGTTAGCAGGTATATAATTGTTTTTATGTGTAAACTTTTAATAAGTAAAATTGTGCTTATCAACAAAACCTTTATCTTTTTTTTGTTTTGTTTTTTCAAAATCAAATGGACAGATTTGTAAATACTTTTTATTTCACAGGTATAAAGGAATGGAATAACCTTCCTCATGATACAAATTATTGAAAACATAGTAAATTTAAAAATTAAGGTTAAAGGTGTTTATTCTTTAATTAAAATATGTTTTAATATTCAGTATTTTAGTTAACATATTGTAACTGTAATATTGTAATTATATATAAATTTATATTAAACATTTATGGACCCAAATAAAAATAAGCCCAAAATATCTATTTAAAGGGGGGGTGCGGGGATGAAATAATTAATTTTTAATTTAAAATAGAGGGATGGGCGACTACAACGACGGTGACGGCACTCGATTTTGGAGCGCGGTATTCGAAAACGAGGCTCGTGAACTGGGTCCCAAAAAAAAACTGGTGCAGATGTGTATAAGAGACAGCTGTTGGTCGCTACCTATGTGCAAAGGACATAAACGGAAGTCAAGTTTCTATGAATATCACTTTGCAGCCTTTACCAATGCTGAATTACAATAATATTCCCATCAAAATGTTTAGAATTATTTTAAAACAGTTGACATAAAATAAATTAAAAAACCACATTTAAAAAATATTTAATTGAATAAAAGATAGCCTAATATAATTGTTTAAAATATTGAAAAATACAGCATATAGCCTAGACTAGTCCTTTACAAAGTAATATTTCCCCCACTGAAAAATATTTTAGTATAGAAATCCATCTACACATTTATGTTTGTATAATAGTCAATTTTTTGTGTAAATATTGCATTTAATAAGAATCTTGTTTCTATGCACATATTTTTTGGTGGAATTTGTTGATTTTCCAAACAAAAAATATTGCACAATTGCTATTGAGGTCCCACAAATCAATTAGTGTAAATGTATGTATTATTTAAACATGTACTGTATGTTCGTTGAAAACATGTGTATTACTGGCACTATGTTGATTGTACAGTTGTTAATTCTAGTTGACATTCCAGAAACATCTATAATCTTTCAATAAATTTAATTTTTTTTTCCCATCTACTATTAGTTGCACATCATGAATTCCATGAAGCCGTTGCCTGCAGACACAGTCCGTCTGATCACAAGCTCACAAGTTATTACATCTATATTTAGCATTGTTAAAGAGCTGGTTGAAAACTCGTTAGATGCCAATGCAACAAACATTGAAATTAAACTTGTAAGTTCTGTCATTGCTGCATTTTAAAAATAGTTATTGTTCAACAGACCAGAATATACTAGACATAATTCTCAGAAAGTAAGTATGAATTTGCAGTTGCATGGACCAGTAAATGATTTTTAAAAAACTGTATATTTCTGCAGGAAAACTATGGTTTTGACAAGATTGAGATCCGTGATGATGGTAGCGGCATACCTCTTGACAACATTCCATACATGGGACAGCAGCACTTCACTTCCAAGATCTCTCAACTATCCGATCTTCAACAACTGGTAACCTATGGTTTCCGTGGTGAGGCGTTAGCATCCCTATGTGCAGTTGCTTCAGTTTCCATAGCAACCAAGACACAGGCTGACCCAATTAGTATGGTTTATTCACTAGATCACCAAGGCAAAGTGTCATCTTCGAAACCATGTCATCTTGGCATAGGTAAACCCAAAGAATGTTGCATTTCCTAACTAATATCGAGCAAATTTTAGCGTGCCAGTATCTGCTCCGAGGGTAAACACATCTCCGCTCCCAAAATCGACATTTCTGAATACAAATGTTTTTCAGACTTAAAGGTTGTCAAACTTTTTTTAGGTCACCTGGTAATCTGTTCCACAAAATTGGAGCGCAAACAGAAAAAGCACTGCTCCCGTAGGACCTCTTCAACACCATAACTCATAGAAGTGACTTTTTGGCAGACCTTAGTGAAACATGAGGTCTGCTTTTGTATTAATTTTCTCTTTTTGTATTGATTCTGTAATGTGCAGTACACCCTGCTCACCAGGAATTTTTGATGACTATTTTGTCAATCTACAAATTTGTATCCATTGTTTGTTTTACTTTCCCACTTAAATTTTCTTGTTATTAGTCTTTTTAATTATTGTTTAGGTACCACAGTAACAGCTGTTAATCTCTTCAAAAACACACCAGTTCGTAAACAGTTTTTCAGCAGTGTAAAACGAAGAAAAGATGAGCTAAAGAAGGTAGAGGACTTGTTGATGCAGTTTGCTGTCATCAGGCCCAACATTCGCTTTCTGCTGCGTAACGATAAAACCGTCATTTTACAAAAAAACAAACTGGCCGATCACAAAGCAGCTTTAGCAAGTGTTTGGGGAAGGAATGTTATTGCTGCAATGGAGAAGATATCAATTGTTATTGGTGATGCTAAGGTAAAAAAACTAAAGTATCTAATTCTGTATTTATATTTTTTGTTTCTCATAAAATATTTATTAATATTATTAGGCCCTATGATCGACCAGTTTGTCTGTATATACTTATTATTTATTTTTATTAGCATTATATACATGTAACATGAGACTCCACATTTGGGTCTTTCTCGGTCATTGCCAAGTCATCCATGTTATCTTGTCTGGTGTTTTCTAGTAGGTTATCTTTCTTCTGAAAGCCAGCTAAGCCAAGAAATTGATCCCAGAGTATGAACTTTACCAAGTCTTTACCGTGCACTATTGTTAGTGACCTAAACATGGCAATCTTTTGCTTGTTGTGATTAAAAGTATATTTTCAGGGAGGTTATGGTTTCATTTTTTGTCAAGTTCATTGAAACGTTGATGTTCTACTATTACAGTTTGTGAACAATCCAAGCTCTCTTTGTTCAAATTGCCTTTACAGTTATAATGTTTCAAAACAATAAATTCATGTATATTTATTTTATATTTTATAGATACAGTATAAATTTTCAAAGAAATTTTGTTTTTTTCTTAGGCTGAATGTTTTCTTCCAAAACCGGAAGCTGATCTGCAGTTAATCAGCCGATCTTCTAATGACCGGTGCTGGGTGTCTGTTAATGGCCGTCCTGTATTTTACAAAGAAATTGAGAAGGTTTGGAAACATTTCAATCATTCATTAACCATTTTTTACCAATTTTATTTTACATATATTGCCTCCTATGTGGTAGCCATTTCCTTATAGGAGAAAAATAATAAGACAAATGGAGGCAGAGTATGGTTTATTTTGCTTTTTTGGGAGGTAGTTTTTTGGTTGTAATTTAAAATGATTATTCCCTCATCATCAAATTGTTAAAGAAGTTTCTAGAGTGATCTTCATATTTTTTTAGATTATCAAGCACTGTGTACGTGGTTGTTACCCAACGCAAAGTAGCGGGCGCTATCCGTTTGCCTTTGTTAGCATCAATCTTCCTCCAGATTCTATAGATGTTAATCTGGAACCAAACAAAACAAAGGTGCTCATACAACAGAAGGTATTTTTAAAATATTTTTTGTTTTACTGTTTGTGCTTTGCTTTTGTTTTTACGTCTAAAAAGTGTAAGTTAACTAGAGAGAAGAATGTAGATTAACCTGCAAAATGTGTGTCACAGTATTTCATATAAATATAAATTGTAAGCAAGTTTGATTCATATATTTCTCAAAAATAAATATTAATTATAGTTATTTTCAGATCACTAGGTGTAATATTATGAGTTGGTTTAATTATGTATACAGTATTATACAGGTCTCCCGACAATTAAAGACCACTTTTAGGACCGAGGTTTCCGTGGTCTTTAATTAGAATAATAAGGATTTGTTAAAATGGGACCACAGAAAAGTGGTCTTTAATTGGTTGGTCTTTAATTGGAGGGGTTTTTAAGGGAGAACTGTATAAAGTATACAGTACATCCTTATAACACTTACATAATTTTATTTTCTGTGGATTTGATCCAAAGGAAAGTATATTGGAAGCAATTGAAGAAAAACTACAGGAACTATATAAGACTGGATCCAAAGAGGACCATCAGTTAGCTAATCCGGATGTCTGCACAAGTAAAGGAAATGGTGACAATGTAGCAAATAGCAATAAAGGGAGAAATGGAATGAGGTCCCATGAATCAATAAGGCAGAATATTCCACAAAATCAATCACTAGTTGAGTCAATGGATTACCAGTGTTCAGTGTTGGGTAGTATGAGGCCACATGGATCTGTATTGGAGAATAATGCACAGGACCATTCCATAGATGATTCCACAACTTATAGTACCATGTTGGGCTGTAGTAATGGTGTGATTCCACAAGGATCTGTCACAGAGAATCTTTCACAAGAACCTTCCAAAGGATATAGTGCCGTGTCAAGTAGTTGTAATAGTATTATTCCACAAGGATCTGTAACAGAAAATCCTCCCCAAGAACATTCTATAGATGCTTCCACAGCTTCCAATACTGTGTTGGGCAGTAGTAATAGTGTGATGCCACAAGGATCTGTAAAGCAGAAACTTCCACAAGAGCTTACCTTTGATGCTACTACAGCTCCTTGTAGTGCAGGCTTGGGTGGTAACCAACTGATACCACAAAGATCTGTAAACCAGTTTATACTGCAAGACTACTCACCTGATACCTCAACAGTGTCTTGTAGTGAGAAATTGAGCTCACAGGGAACAGATGAAAATGCTCTGCTTGATGCACACTGTACCGACACAAACGTGTTACGCAAAGATTTAAACAATGATTATCATAACTCATTGGATATTACAACTGAGCCTTTGACTCATCCTGATAGCAAGAGTGCTGTTCCAACTAACGGGAATCCTGGTACTGGCAGTTCTGATCTCATTGACAATAGAAAGTTCGATTTACTTGCTGGCAACGATGAATTAACAGATTCTGCATTGATGGATTTTCTTGAAGAAAAGTGTGAACCTACAGAAGTTAGTCTGAATGATTCAACGATTGAAGGATTAATTCAGTCAGCCAATCAGATAGAAGCATCAGAGTGGAGTAAAGGGAAGGGCCTGGTTGATAAGTTAGGAAGGCCTGTTGAGCCTGGGAGATTGCTGTTACCGACACCAAACACCTCCAATCAAAATCCAGATGATAGTTCTCTGAAAGACGATAAAGATTTATTAAAAGTGGAAAGAAAACTACTAACGCCATGCCGTGAGAAGAAGCCAATTCAAGAGAGGATGGGCCAGGCAACATTTTACAACTTGGTTGGAAAAACTCCGATTAAACGACCACAAACCGCTTATATATTCTTTTGTAAAGAAATGCGTCCTAAAAGTAAGTTAACAAGATTGAATGTATGACGTTACCACTTCAAAAATGATGTTATTAATTAGTTAATCTCAATTGCACTTACAGTATTCACCATGACATAATACATGTTACATCATAGTTTGCTGTAGGTTCCATGAAAAATAGTGTTCAGTTAATAATCTTGTGCTATTACTAATGGTGTGTAAATAATAATAATTACATGAATTTTGTTTGAATATACATTATTACAAAACTTGATTAATTTAATTCTTCATTCTATAGTTATTAAGGATAACCCAACAGCAGATTTTCAAACAATTGCTAAACTAACCGGAGAGAAATGGAGGGAATTAAGTGAAGAGGATAAAAGCAAGTATGAAGATCTAAGGAAAGAAGATGTTCAGAGGTAGGTTTACTATTGTGACATAATTTTCATAAACCAATCATTTTTGTTATATATTTTTTATCTGTTTACTATTATCTGTTGGCAAATAGAAAATAGATACATTTTATGTGCTTGTTTTCTATTTTCAGATACAAGGAACAAGTGAAAGAAGCCAAAGAAAACCTTGTTCAGGAACCTGTACGGAAGAAAAAATGTATCAAACAGGTAGTAGGTAGTCAGTGGCTATTATTAAATCCAACCCTACATTTTAAGATTTTGTGTTTGGGAATAAATGTTTATTGGCCATATTATTAATTTAGTATGTGTTGATGGCTTTAGTTTACTACCATGGATTGTATTTTGTTTTTATCTGCAGCCCCCTCAACAAATGTTGGTAGATAAACTGTTCTCATCACCAGTAAGAGCATCCGTACCTACCACACCAGCTATTAAGAGTGTTGATGTGACTTTTTCATTTGCTGGACTCAAGGCAGAACTACAGAACAAAAAATGGTGAGGCTGGAATACAAAAATATTCTACACTTTAATATTCCTACACAAGAACAACAAGAACAATCCTATAGGTACACTGTAACGGACCTTACACATTCAAGTAACTCATAGATGTATTCTTTTAAAAGAATTAATGACTTATCAACTTCAGTTGAGATACAGATTGCATACAAATTTTGCTGATTTTTTAGTTAATTTGTTCATTTATCAAGGATGTCACAAGAAAGGTGCCATTTGATTGGTCAGTTGCCAAATGGTTTCTGGATTTGCAAAGATGATGACCAATTGCAGCTTCTGAACCATCATAGACTGGAAGAAATGCTGTTGTATCATCGGTTGCTTGCTAAACATAGACTCCAGATACAGCCGCTTCAACCACCTGTCACACTGTCACCTAGGTAATGGAACAAAAATATATTTTCCTTTGCTCTTTCACAAGTTGACGTCATAATCACATGTGCAGTATATACATTGGTGGTCAGCCAATTGTAAGGTAGCTAGCTCAGGATGTTTTTATTTTCAACAGGACTAGAAGGATGAATTCTTTTGAATAATAGTTTCCTTCCCAGGGTTCTAAGTTAGGAGGTGCAACATGCATAATCTGGTTTAATGAGCAATCTTAAAACATCTTATTGTATTTTTCTGCATGTGATGTACCCATAGCCAGTTGACTTCAGTACAAACAAGGTCTTGTAATCTCGAAAGCTTGGCTGAGGGCAGTATAATAGAGGCAGTAGAGTATATTGGCCCTAACGGCCACCCATACAAATAAAATCTATTAATCAGTCAGCCGAGTGTTCTAGAGCTCCTCATCGGAGCTAAAAACATGAAATTATTCTGAATTTGTGTGGGAGACTACTGATTTCTGGAAGACTCTCCCTGCGACTCGCAGGAGACTTGGGACCATTGCCATTCACATGTGACTTAATTATTATTATAAAGATATGAAGTTTGCATCAGGAAATAATCATAGGAGTGATGTTTTGCCCTACCTGACGTGATATCGTACCGAATACTCAGTACGTCCCCAAATACTAGCGAAAAAATTCACAAGTGATTTGGGTGGGAATCGAACCCACGACCTCCAGGTATCTAGCCTGATGTCTTAACCACTAGACCACCGAGCTTGCACTTGGTGATGAGTGATGAATCCGATCCCCTAGTAGCAGCGGGTACTGCAAGTGCTATAAAGATATGAAGTTTGCGTCAGGAAATAATCATAGGAGTGATGTTTTAATTATTATTCATATTTATTATTGTAATTTATTATTTTTAAACAATGTTATTTTAAAGAAGTTTAATTTTGTCAAATTTTTGCAATTTCTGTTGATTCCAATAGTATGGTAGGAGGGCATGAAAACTGGCAGACGCTGATGACAATGAAAAGTCATGTATCCGCAGTAGATGCCACGCGTATATTCATTGATGAGCGATTGGTGGCAAACGGATTTGAAATTAAACAAACTGAAGGTATTAATTAAAATGAGTATAAATTGCTTTTGAGTATTTAAGTAACTTTAAAGATACATCAGTACAGTCTATTATTACTTAGCAATTTAACTATGAATAATACAGTTTCTCCTATTCTTTGCATATCTCTTAAATTAGTTGATTGGTTTTTGTATTAATCCCTTCATAGACTAAAGAGTGTTGATGCAAAGTTTCCGAAACTAATGAATGTTAATCCAAGGTTCCAAAACTAAGGACATTGTGATCCTTCTGAAATGGACTTTTGCGCTAAGCCCACCCCTTGAATATTGTTGCTTAGGTCCTACAAAACGACACTGTAAAATCAAAGACTTTTACCTGTTACCAGGATAGGAAGCTGGCTGGTTTAGGCCGTCTAACTTGAATTAGCCTTATGTGTAGTATTGTTATGCTAATGAGGCAGATAAGCGCTATCTGCACATGCTCAGAAAACCAAAACTTTCCTTAGCCACACCATGGCCACATTGCGTATCGGTTAGGCGTAACAGCTAGACCTAGCCAAGAATCATGGTACGGTAAAACAAAGCAAAATAAGGGTACTAATTTCACTTGGCATGCAAATCAATCATACTTAAACACTTAAAAACAAACTAATCTACCAATAAAATCACCTGCAAGTTAAGATATATGGCAAGTATGTCTACAAATTTGATTTTAAATTGATGTGATTTTGTTTTGTAGTATTACAATGAACATCACATAGGCTAGCATAGGCCCGGCCTAGGCCATGTCTGACCGCTTATAAAAATGCAGAAAAAAGACCCGAAACAAATTAGAATGAAGTTATCAACTAACTGGTGCATTAAAATTATTCATATACTTACTACTTACCTATATAAAAATTAAAATGTATTGCTCACAAACTTAATACGCCTTTTCCACAAATCGGCAGACATCTTGAAGTGATGACAAACAGCCTAAGTCAGTGGTGCGTAACAAACGAAAATAAGATAAGCTAGGCCTACAGTAGCTGCTGTATGCCTAGCCGATACGCAGTGTGGCTAAGGAAAGTTTTGTTTTTCTGAGCATGTGCAGATTGTGCTTATCTGGCTCATTAGCATAAAAATGCTACACATAAGGCTAATTCAAGTTAGACGGCTTAAACCAGCCAGCTTCCTATCCTGGTAACATTTAAAAGTCCTTGGTAAAATCATACACAAACATGTGCGTTTGTGGGAAAATGTGTGTTTATAGGACATGCGCATATTCCTGGCCCTTTTTCTGATTGACACTACGGAAAGGTCTATTGTTAAAAAAAGAGTAATTTTTTCGCAAATGTTAATTAAAGAAGATTCATTCTTCCAAAGCTTTATAGAATTGTAATCCTTTCAAAACTGTAAGGAATTTTGATCATTTCTAAGCGTGAAGGGTATTGGGTAACCCTAATGTAACTGCAAGTTTTATTATTTGTGAAGTATTCATTTTGAAAAGATATTTTGTTTATACTTCTATTTTAAAGATAATGAGAGTGGTCATGTAAGGTTACAGGTCACTGGCATGGCAACAAACATCCCATGTTATGGTTTGGCTGACCTTGCTGAGTTGCTGAATCTCATTGGCTGTTCTTCCAACAGTTGTATTAGTCTACAAGAGTCCAGACCTGTCAAGTTGATCCATTATTTGCAGGTATAGGGCTTTGTCATTTTGAATATCAGAAATTTCTCTGTAATATAATATATTTTTTAGTATCTGCAGAGTGCTATCAAATTTATTAAATGCTTTACTAAAATGAAATTGTTTTGTTTTTATTAAAGCATCACTAGAATAAAAGAAAAGAATTAATAAAATGGCCTTAAAATGAGCTTTATTCTTTTTGTACTTGCACTCATGGTAATTTATGGTAAATTTAGGTTAAGTCTGGTTTCCATAAAAATCACTACACGCTATCGGTGGCTCCTTTGGCGACGCTGATTAATCAGTTGAATCAGGAAGCGTTCCTGATTGCGTCGGGGACTGCTAAGCAGTGCAACGATTGCAGTGGAAACGCTGTAGCGACTGTGTAGCGATTCTATGGAAACCAGGCTTTATAAAGCTTTTCTAATTTTTGGAGGACAAGGTTGCTGCCTTATATGTTTGCTTGTTTTTTTGTTTTAAATTATTTAAAAAATAATTTTAGACCTGAAGGTTGGATTCATGCATTAAAAATGAAATTTCATATTCATGAGTTTTTAATATTTTGTTATTGCTTCTGTGATTTTGAATATCAAATTTTGCTTTGATTACATTTTGTTTCATCCATAGGGAGAAGCAGTCCGATTGGCTAGGGACCTTCCGCATCGATCTTCACAGGATGACATCTTGGATATGGTGGATAGGCAGAGGGCACTGTTGCCTATGAACTCGCATAGCTGTATTCATAATAAGCCTTTCTATCACACACTGCATACGATTAATGACGTGAGAAGTTAGTGTCTGAAGTAATATTCTCATTATGTTCATGTGACAATGATGGTAAAACATACATCATCCTCCTATGTTATGTGAAAACCTTAACATCCTGACCACCGCCCTGTGATTGGCTTTGATGCAGCAAATAACATAAGCATCCTGAGGGCATATACTGTAATGAATGATGTAAACATCCTGAATCTCTCTACACTGTGATTGGTTTGGATAGCATGTATAGTATAACATCAATTGCATCTAGAAACAGCCTGTAAACATGTACTACACTATAGTACATCAAATGTAAATATCCTGACCTATTTAACCTGCGATTGGCTGTAACACACTGCCTTCTAATTACTTAGATGCATCCTATTCAGAATATATGAATCATCATCATGATAATGTAAGTGAGTAGTTGAATTTATCTCATTTTTTATAAATTTTCATTTTTTTCTACTGTGTTATATATTATATTGTATATATTTTGAACAATTTTCAAAGCCAAGATATTTTATATACTTCATACAGTTTTTTCTCAAAACCGAATATAATAAATGTTGTGAATAGAAACTTGCATTCTAGTTTTGTTATGAGTTGACTAGTCAGTCTTGGGTGAAATAAATCCTAACTGTATTGCTTATTAGTTTCTGCTAAGGTTGAATCCACAAGTTGAGCATCGTACACCCTATGAACTATTTGTGTGAAAGTGCAAATGTGACAAATACCTGTATGCCCATATATGGGTGTGATGTGACATAATCATACCCATATATGGGCGAATGAAGGGCATTTTTAACATTAACCTTAATACTCTAGACAAAACTTAAAGTAAATTAATGTACTGTACCTCCACTAACTGATATATTTCAAAATGTCAAAATTTTTATTTCCCCTAGAAATTGAAGTTGGTTATTAGCCTCGCCATAGAAGCGAAGCTCAGGGGAGGCTATTGTTTTTAGCCATGATTTTCATGCTGTCATCGCCGTTGTCGTTGTTACAAAAACAGAGAATTTATTATGCAATGCCTGAGAATGAGTGAGAAAACTCACAGCAACATAAGAAGGGTTGTAAAAAGTGCAGTTTCACCCACTCCCCATCCATGTCACACGTTCTGTTGGTTACTGATAAAATAATTTGTTTACTACTTGCACAATAACTATATTACAGTATTGCTTTACAAATTCACACACTTAAATCAACTCCATCAATGCATACTATACATTGTATTATTTTTATTCCAGAGTCTATGAAAAAATGTTTGTGATGAATATGTAGGCCTATACAGTACCTTGAAACACAGCCAACAGGCTCTATAAATAGAATGTGTACATTTATAAATATAATTATGCACACTAATCACTAAAAAAATTATCTATTGTGTGTCATGATACTATTTTTAATCTTGATATTAACACACTTGTCGGAGAAAATACTGTAGTTGTCATGATCATCGTATCTTGAGCTATCCATTTCAAAATTAGCGAACTGAAGGCTGACATGAATTGTTTACACCACATACAAACCAATCCAATTGACCAGTATATTTTTATGTACTTTTGATATTTAAGCATATTCAATTTTGGCTACAGGAATAAATGATGCAATGTTTAATATACAGTACTTGTACAGTAATATAAACATGGCCATAGTTATAGTTATTAAAATAGCAGCAAGCATTGTGAACCTTAACACCTGCTAAATTAATTAAGGGCCATGGTGGTTATTGTGTCTACGCCATCTGGTGATACTAATGCGAATAATTATAATTTTATAAAAGAATGAATGAAAAGACAAATACTGACAAAAATTACTAAAAAGTGCTACAATCTAAAAAATGACATTATTTTCATTAACATTATAATTATTAAATATCCAGATGTGCACAGATCATAAATTCTTATAAAATATCGAGAATTGTAAACTTTATTAATTTCATCTAACAGCACAATTAACTAATTATTTGACTAATAGATACCTGATATTAACAATTTATCAGCATGATTTTTTGGTACAGTCTTACAATATATTAAACTGAATTTATACCGCTCATTAAACATACAGTACAGTATGTAATGTCTGTAGGCTGGTTTATGGCAATTGTACTATTATTGTATATCATGATATATGACCAGCTAACCGTTAGCGCTAAGCGTTAGCAAATGTGTGAGAATGTCCGATCGGTTGGCGTTAACCGTTAGCGGTATCCAGATACCGCTAATGGTTAGCAAGCGCCATCGGTTAGCAAGTTGAGCATGTTTTTATCATCAACCAATCACACGTACGCGTTTACAATTTCCAGTTTCTTATTGGCCAGTGATTCGATTTGGTATCCGGATCGGGATTTTCTCGTATGGACGCACTGCAGCTAACGGTTAGCAGGATCCGGATCTTGCTAACAGTTAGCAGCCGTGTGAGAACATAGCCAATGACACCCTGTTGACTATATCAGCCCATAATAATGACAACCCTGAGTAACACCACCCAAGGATAGCATAACACCATCCCTTAACAGTCCCAACTCGAATCAACAAAACCACAGACTGACACAACTCAGGGATGCCAGTCCAGGAATACACCACCCAAAGATAACATTACCCCCGGAACAAAAACGTCCCAGGAAGATGACACCCATGGGTGATAACATTACCCAGCATAATGAAATCCTACAGCAACACCACAGTACAATGACAATACCTTATGTCTAGGAACAGTTTCATGAGTTTTGTTTGCATAAAACCTGCATGGTTTCTAATTCCTACTAAAATATACATGTACAGGTATTAATCCATGGATACATAAATAGGTTTTCCTTGAAATTCAAACTAATTGCATTTACAGCTTAAAACAGTGACTTTGTATCTTAAGGTGCAAAAGCAAAAAAAGTTCTCTACATTAAAGACACAGATGGTAAGAATTATAAATTATAACAAAGCTACTAATTAACTCAGTAGTAAAATAATCAATAAATCTTCTGTCTTTTAACCTAGGGCCCGTTCGAGCAAAAAACACCAACCATATTCCGTTTATTTCACCGGGTAATCGCGCTGAGCACTCAGCGAGTGGTCGACCGTTCGAGCAAGTTTTAGCTCACGGTAAATACGTGTAACGAAACTACTCCGGAAGAAAATTTCAACTTAAACCATGGTCAACAACCCATTGCTACTGCTGCTATAACCGGCCCACGTACACACAGTGCGGCACGGTGGAACGATAATGTAGCTCAATAATTTGTAATGGCTGCTTTAAAATCTGTACATAGGCTAGATTATTCAAGTTTATTTCTCCGAATAATGGTAAATCTACAAATCAATCGCGTAGCTTAGCTATATGCTACTAAATTTAGACTTCGTCGTGCATTTGTGAGGAGGCGAAGGAGAGCTGCAGCCACGCCTGGGCCGTTAAACCTATTGAATTTGGCGCTAGGTTGTGGGCAAAACTTTTGGAAAAACAATTAAGGTTGATTTATCATCGCCTCCGGCTCCATTCCATACACGGTATTCTACCCAGCAAAATTGTCGCGGATAATCCAGATGGAAAGGTAATTAGACTAGTGTCCGAGCGGTTTTAGAAAGTGTGTACCGGTGAATTAACTGGTAAATCGCACGGATATTTTTTCGCTCGAACGGGCCCCTACTCTTACCAAGAATGAATAAATGTATAACATCACTGTCACATATCTTGCTTTAAGATTAAATATTTGAATTATCTTGTTATTAGTGCAATAGATAATTTAACAATACCTTCAATTTCAAAAGTGTTAAATCAAGCAAATATAATTTTAGTTTCCAAAAACCTGTTCCCTCACACACACACATACATACACATTGCAAATATACTTAAAAAGATTCATGGAATTAAACTGTATTATCTAAGCATAAACTTGAAAGCTATGGTCCTCTGCCAATTACATGGATCGGTTACAAGCACATTACACACTGGATGAACTGCAGAAAACAGAAAACATGGAAAAAAACCCAAAATTAGTGATGGTTGAGAGCAACTGAGTTTTAAAAATAATGAATGGGTTCATGGGAAAGAAAACTGAAACATATTTAATGCAACAATAATACATTATTTCTTGCATAGGCAAATAAGCTGGTTGTGATTTTAATAGCAATTTTTTGTGCCAACTAATCAGGGGTTCGTAGGGCCAGATTAATATCGGGGCTTTTGGGGCACCATCCCCAGGCCACAGGTCCCAATGCGGAAAAATAGGCCCCAGAACCCCAGAAGTCTGGTTTTATGCTTTACCACTGAGTATTTGTTACAAGTTGCAATTACAGCCCAGGCCCCCACAGTCCTTTAATCAGGCCCCCAAGTTAGAAGAAGTGGCTTTCTGGGAGATCTGGTTTAAATGAGCTTTCTTAACATATCTTACTTTGCATATGGTGATACCCATCGGCACTATTTTCAGTGAGACAATTGATAATAAAGTAGTAAAAATTTGCAAATAATATTATGAATTTGAGGGAGATGGGTTATATTCCCGGGACATGCTTGCTTGTGGGAGACCGTTCCGATTTCCTGGAGACTCGCGCAACTTGCGCACAACTTGCGGGAGACTTGGGACCCCCGACTAATTGAATTTCGATAAATATACATGAAAATGCTTACATCATCGTACTGAAACTGGGCCCAACCATTTTTTTGAGCATCACGGGCTTGGAATGCACCTGTAGAAAAAATAGAAAAATATCAATTTAATAAATAATAATAACTATTATTATTATTATTATTATTATTATTTATCATCGACATCATACATTATTTAAAAAAAATATGATTAATACTATTCTATGTATGTGAAATTGAAGTTCTTATCTCTTGATCCAATAATGAATTGTGTAGAGTCATGCAATATGAGACCAAAATATATCTAAATTAGACTTAAAATATGATGAAAATATTACATGAAAATAAGTGAAAATACAAATTCCTACTTGTAAGAGATCTGAGACGGACTGCACATGCGACAAAATCATCAAAGTTAATGCGACCGTTTGTTGAATAACGCTTGACAAGGGCATTCAATGCTGCCGGGCTAAGAGTGTAACCTGGAATAAACCATATAATGTCAAACATATTATAATATAGACCTCCCAGAGATCAAACAAACTTTACAAACTGATCAATCAGAACACAGCCTGGAACACACAAATGCATCATTTAATGCTGTTGGTTTTTGGGAACTATATCCAAGGATGAAGGAGATTCGCAGAAACATCTATTATTGGTTATAAAGATATTGGATTAGTTTCGATAGATGTTTCACTGAATGAACATTTTGCACAGCCAAATCAAGATATATTCACCTAATTTTGCTGACAAGACATTTCACACACTCAGCTGATATAACATAGGTTTCAACCAACAAACAAAAAATATAGTTAAATTTAACTCTTTTTTTTAATTCAGAGAAATGTCTGCCTGTGTAAACAGAATTAGTCTTGTTTCAATTTCTATTGTAATTATCATTACTCTGTGGAAAAGAATAATAAAACAACATCCAAGGTAAATTCTTGAAATAACAATTAATATCATCATTAATAATAGTAATATTTAATAAAGAAATAGGTCAGTTTACTAAACCTACCAAAGCTGGAAATTGCTGCATGCAGCTCATGTGGCTCTACAGTACCAGAGCGATCTCGGTCATAGGTCATAAAGGTTTGCTTCCATTGGTTTAAGCTAGCCCAGAGCTCCTTAAACTCATTGAAACCCATTTTGCCTGAAAAGTCACGCTGGTTAAAGGTTAAAGAATTTTTCTCTGACAATAAAAACCATTTTGAATTCTAAAGTTTAAAAAAAAATATCAAATACAATAGACACTAGAAGCAGAAGTCCCACTAAAAATCATTGAGCAAACGGTCACAACAGGCCATTTGCTGAGCAAACTGTCACAAGAGGCCATGGCTGAGCAAACTGTGACAAGAGGCCATTGCTGAGCAAAGTGCTTATGTACACCAGGCTTATCTAAAAAATAGGGAAATGATTCCTACATTTGTCAACTCTTTCATGAGTTTCATTTTATTCACTAATATACTTTAAAAGGATACATCCAACATTGCAATCATAATGCGAGCTGTCTCAAGACTGAATTCTAAATAATATAAAAGAGAAAACAAGTACAGTATATAATTATCACTTTGATAGTATAATAATACAGTATGAAGAGCTTCTGTGTAGTTTTCCACATGGCTTTCAGTCATATCCCAATGGAATCAAAATATATTTTTACCTTCTCTTTTAAAATTTACTGTTTAGCAAAAAAAAAACTGAATACTGTAAAACCTCGAATAAAAGCCAAATTTCAAGATAGCATGGGTTTTTTTTTCTTTTTTTCTCAATATAGTACAGTACATACAATGCATAAATTTCAGAGAAACAAAATAAATTAAAAAGACGCTTTGGTTTCTACAGTAGTTTTTAGGTGATTTAATGCCCGGTTAACACACTCCATGATACAGATTGATGTTACAGTTGCCCCATTTATTGTTTTATGTAATTCGCAAAATTTACAGCATTCATTTTGAAAAGAAGCGCCCCCCCCCCCCATCTTTCCCTGTCTCAGTAGTAGCCTCGAAAAGAAACCCATCTAAAAAAAAAGCCCAGGGCTTCAATTACAGGTTTTACGGTATTATATTGGTATGGTATCAACAACTTACGCTGATAGCTTCCAGCAATGCCTGATGTTGTCAGGCAGTTCTGCAGTTCCCTAGCATCGATTTGCTGATCCTAAAAGAGATACAAATGTAAAGTATTATCAGAGAATTGATACAAAACATAAACACATGGATAGTAATTTTGTGAAGATAATGAGGGTTTAATGAAATGAAGTAAAAACTCAAGACATCAAATCAAAAGGAGAGTTGAGTGTAACAGAAAAGAAAAAGAAATATGTGAATAATAATTAGCATATAGTTATCACTCTGACAATAATTATAGATTGTACAAATATTAAAATGATTTGAATGTAATTGGACAGACTATTTTCATTAGTGAAAGTTGGAGTATTCCATTCAATGTGCCTCATTGAATGGTATACAAATAATGAATGTTTACGAGTGGAAGAATATATTTTCTTTCCCTTGACTGTTCTATTCGACGAGGCAGAACGGTCAATCTTTCAACGAATCAAAATATTCTTTCCATTGCGTGAAAAAAACCATTCATTATTTGTTTTATAACACACCTAAAATATATTCTTGTCATTTGATATTTTATGAAAAAAACTACCTTTTTCTGAATGGAGATTCTTGTCATTTTATATTTTATGAAAAAATCTACCCTTTTTCTAAATAGAACAGCCAGCACCTCTCTTTAACTAATCAAAAGGTTATATTAGGTTGAAGTCATATCGTATCCTAGGCACCGTGTAATGGGCAAAAATGGATGGAAAGAAAGTGCATGGATGGGACTAGAATGCATAGACGAAATTAATTTCCAGGATGGATGACGAAATGGGGTAAATAACCAATGTCACGTGATACGAAATCCACCAATCAAATGACAGGGGTCTATTTTGGTGTGTTATAAAACATGCTATCTGTCTATACATCTTTCATTGTTTACAACTTGCATATGAAAAAACAACACAGTGTTACTTACTGCACCTGCCACCGCTGAGAAGTAACCCCACAATGGATCTGCCTACATAGAAAAGACAATCATTCAAATCTGTTTCCACAATTAAACTACAGAATTTTTTTCACTACACCATTAGGTAATTTTGAAATTATGAAACTAAAATTTGTATCAAATGAATAATGCTTTATTTACATTTATGATATTTACAAACAAATACAAGTTATACTAAAAAGTAAGAAAAATAATAATAATAATATATATGATACTGATTCATTGTCTTGACTTTTTAATTAACTTTCCATCATAAATACAGGCTACCACTCCAGATAGGCCTGACTTACAAAGATCTATGAGGTTCATCGTCCCAACAACTGTTTCTCCAGTTGCAATACTGTTTTGCCGTTAATAATAAATTAATGTAATTAATAATAACAAACACAACATTTTTAATGAATATCCATACTGTGTCACGATTAAAGAAGAATATATAATTAACAAACCTTACTTGAGCTATTTAATTAGCTCAAAATAAACACTGTACCTGGAGGAAAGCATTGCACAAAGCGTACACTAATATAAATTTTGTATAGCAGAAAAGTAGTAAAATGTACAGTAGTAAAAAAGCTACCATAAATATATATCTCTCTACATTAATTTATATAATTAATTAATTTAATGAAATTAATTTTTTTTTTTAAATAATTTTCTACAATCAATAAATTAACAATAATAATTAATAATCAATTCAGTGTAATTAAATGTCCATATAGTGGGACATGTTGAGAGTACAAGATTATATTGCTATTGTCTTGTATGTAAAGCCATGCAGTTCAGAGCTTTGTATATTAGTAGAACCCACCTATGTTAACAGTCGATTCACACTGCAATCTAGTGTAAAGACCTGTCCAGACTATCAAATTTTACTTGACAAAAACATGTGACATGCTTAAATATGGTCATGATGACATCACATCATTACCATATATAGGCACATCATGACTATGGGCATACAGTTTTTGTTGTCAAAGAAAATTTGATAGTCTGACACTACTATTCTACTGTAGCATTGTCAGCTTATAGTTCAACAATACACCTCCCTGATGTGGTGTCTAGAAGAGGAATCTATGCTCTACTATTAGTATTATTATTGTGATGGCCATTCCTCCAATTGTAGTACCCTTCGAAGGGCATGGTAGATATTATTGTGCTAGTCATTCCTCCAATTGTAGCACCCTTCCTAACAAGGACATTTACAATTAAGGTCCTTGCATTACCACAAAGCAGCATTGATAGATAGGGCAAAACATACAGTACACACACTCATCACACATAAAACAACAATTCAATTAGTATTGCCAGCTGTATTTTTTTATTTTTTAAATGCAAGGTTTCAATTAATCAGTTCTTTTAATGATTTACAATTTTAATGTATCAACATACAAAAGAGAGCAAGTGAAATCCTGGCCAGTATTCAGTCTGTGTGAGGGTGGAGCATTGCTAGCAAAGCGAAAACAGTGACCTTGTTTGTAGCTCGGTTGAAGGATGTACTACAGTATACTTTGAATCCCGTGTGATAACCATTCATTTTCAAGGCTTTACTGACATGTTGCACTTCTTGCGGTCTTGAGAGTTGCGGTCAATGATGTCGTGGGCCAGGGGTGACACCATTTCTACCAGTCGGGGAGAGCTGGTCCCCCATCAGGGGGGAAAACACTTCTCCGAGATGAAGAAAGAATTATACATATATTTTACATATTAGTAGACTCCAAAATCGTTCAAGTAGGTCTCTGAAACCCCTAAATTGTCATAGTAGCCCCCTCAATCACTTCCGAGACAAGCAATACTTACATTCTCGTCGGGGTGTTGACCCCCCCCCACTCACGTCGAAAACATAGAACTCTACGATGGGCAAATCCTTGCGGCATCCCTGTAGTGGGCTATTCTGATAAGTGTGTTACAAACTGCCTTCTTGGTGGATGGATGATTACACAAGCGATCGTTTCTCTCGGTGTGGGTTGGTTTTTTTACAGACTGAATACAATATGACAACGTACCTTTATTCTACCTGGTATGTAAACAAAACATCCAAGAAAGGATAAAGATTGGTTGTGTTCCTGCTTCCATACTTAAGGCAACTGCCTTGTGCTGGGAATTCATGTGATCCAGAAAACCATAGAGGTCAGCTTTGTTGTGATACCAAATGATGATGGTGTCATCAAGGTATCAAAATGTTACCAAAGTTTTGGTTGTTAAGTGGTAGACTGGAGAGCTAGCATTTGAAGCAGGTGGACAGTAAACACAGCAGAAGTAAATGATGAATATATTCTGGGTAGGGAGAGTAGGGTCAACTTGAGAGAGGATGAGGATGCTTGGCTATGAGGCAGGCTTCTTTTCCGGTACACTGGCGAATACTGATATGATGTCAAGCTCACAAGAGTGTCCGCTGTTTGAAGATATACATCCTTGATGATCTTCATAGTGAGTAAAGTAACTGGGCTAAATTTTCAGCTGGGGCGTATGTTGGAGATACTCAGGAAGAAATGATGGGTCGTAGTGGAATGACCGTTTTTATGGATTTCTGGTTGGTCAATAGTCTGGGAAATGTGGATGCTGATGGTTAAAGTTGGTGAAATTTTATAGCACCGCAGTTAAAAAAAAAAAAAAAAAATTAAAATTAAATAAAAATAAAAGAACAAATTAATATTTAAAAAATGATGAATTAACTCAACAGAGGGCATGCCTTCCAGAATAAATTTTAAATATTAAAATAGTTAACAGAATACCAAGTGACAGTAGAATAATAATGAACCATTCCGTTAAAATATTTAACAGAATACAAAGTGACAGTAAAAGAATAACGGAGTAAAGATATAGAAACACATGCATTTGTGGGACAAGTTAGTAATCCTGGCCGTGTTTTGGTTGGGCAGTGGTTAAGTTTGATCGACACTCGTGAAAGGTCCATTATTGAGTGCTTCTGTGCCAGGAGCATCTTATGATAGCAATAAAATAACTGCTGCGGTAAAGAAAAATAATACACTGTAAAAATACTGTAGCGATTTTTCATTAAGCCAAACAAAAGGAAAAACAATCACAAAAATTATAATTTTAAAAACGAAATATAATTAGAAAATCAATTGTATTTTCATACGGTTTTGATAATTTGAAGAAAAGTAAAAAAAATATTTTTTTCAGTAAATCATTTTAAAAAAACAGGGTATATTAATACCGTTCTATTTTTCCCCCACCAAGCCAAAGAAAATATAATGATAAGAATTTACTTGTTAAAGTATTTCAATTAATACTGTATATATTCATTTTGTATATTAAAATTAATAATAATTAGAATTACAAAAACTTTGAAAATTTACCATTGGGGCTGCTCCTGGGTAACCAGCACCGGGATAACCTGCTGGGGCTGCACCTGGATAGCCTGCTGGGGCACCACCAGGATAGCCTGCTGGGGCACCACCCGGGTAACCCTAGAACCAAGGACAGGAAAACAAAAATCAACAATAGGGCCAGTGAATTTAAAGTAGATTTTAAAAAATTAAAGCATTTACAGTACTTTGCAAGGGTTTATGTATGTTATTAGTAACAGTTACCAATTTGCCGGACCTGTAATGGGTATGGATTTTAAAAGTGAAATGATTTTAGATTCACACTCATCTAATAGGGATGTAAATACTGTAGAGCACATTTAAATTCAGGGAGAGATTTACTGTACCTCTCTTGAATTAAAAGACCACCCGACTAATTCAACAAAAATAAAAAGGGTCTTTTAACTTAGTTTTGAAACATTTCAGTCATTACTGCTTGCTGTACTAGCTAGCTGGAAGGTTAATTTATCAGAACTATAAAATAACATAATTCAATTTGCCCGCCCACTCCAAAATTGGATGTACACTAATTAATAATAATATGGTGTACTGTACATGTGTCAAGGTAAAAAATAGCTCCTTTTGATAACCTGTCTATAAATTGATCTTGCAATGTCCCAGTAAATACTAATTAATGATAGTGATTATAGACCCCTTCGGTGTTTATATTGGCCTTGTAGGCCCTACCCTAGGAGGCAATGGATTCGACGATTTAATTTCTGTTTTGATACTGTATAAATTATATCAATCAGTTAAATCAATCAATCAATTTCCTTTTTCTATGATCAATCAATATGCACTTTTCCAAACTATGGAAATCTGCCTAGTGATATGCGTAGTGCTTCCATCAAGCAAGCTCATCTCCTTGGCCTACAGTAGCTCTCACATGCTTCTCCGATTCGGACATAAGCTTGACCTTCAAATTGTTTTTGTCCTGCTCTGTTTGCTACGGCAGGCCTTATCATCCAATCGTTTATTAGCAGGGCATTTTACCGGGCCTAGGTGGTGGGGGACTTAGCCGGGGATGTACGTTAAAACGATGCCCCACATTGCTGGGATTTTCACATGCACGTAACCGTTTCGTAAATTACATCCCCGGCTAAGCCCCCGCTAGGCCCTAGTCCAGCAACTACATTTGCATAAATATTTGTATACATTTTATATGTCAATTTCGTCTTTTTGGCATAACCAGTGTCCTGATTCCTGTGCATTTTTCATACAGCACAGTACTTACTGAATCCACTGCCTACCACGGCCCCTACCACTACCTACCCGTAGTGCACTACAGGTGTTTCTGATAGGCCAATCATGTAAACAACGAAAGGGGTCTATGTGGTTTCATGAGATCCCTCAGAGGTATATTCCTTTTGTTTTCCTCTGCAAAATATTCATGGATAAAATAAAAAGATATTTTATTAATGTCTGTGCATGCACACTCTATTTCCTAATGATTTTCTGCACAAATTCAAGTTATTTTCAGTAGCTACTGTGGGCCTAGCTCTCACTCCCTATCTCTCCCTACAGCCTACAACCTCTGACGTTGTAGGCCTATGCTAGGCCCACCCTTATCTTACCCTACCCACCCACAAAAAGGCAGTCAGACTGGGTTTACAACTACTACTTGGGCCTACTGTATGGACAACTATGCCAGCCTAAGGGAAGGCCCAACTAGGCCAGAGCCTGGCCTAGCCAAAAGAGATCAACCAACAAACCAACACTACAATAAGGTTATGGAAATGAAAAAAAATATATAAAATGTCTTAATTACAGCTCCATAGCCTGGATATGCCATCTTCAGATACTGTACTCTTGTTAAACTGTTTTAACGATAAAATGCAATGTTGTATGAGACGAAGGCGTGTCTAACTTCCTCGTACAGAGTGCTAGCTGCATGCAAGCTTGCTGCTGCAGTGAAAAAATACTAAAAATGTTGTCAAGAATGCTGCCCTCTACGATACACAGTAGTTAAAAATAGATTTTAATCTCTCATTTACTAAACAATGTATGTTATTAATAGAGGGTTCTTATCAGTGATTACCGGTACGTGTATTTCAAAACGCTTCGCGTGTTACATTATGTCTGTCGTCCATTTTTTAATACCAATGATTTCACAAAATCGTTCCTAACCTGTATCACAAAATGCTATACAGTAGCATGCATTGCATTATATATTTGCCAGCTTATCTAACCGTTGATTTTTAATAATGTGGTATGAAATTGATTGTCTCTGGTGATTGCAGATTGATCTATATAATATGAAGAATGTTATCTATAGGCCTGCAGATGTACAGGACATTACAACGTTTCTTTTTTCAGGTCCCAAAAACACCCAAATTAATGAAAATTTAAATGAAATATTCATGAATTATGTGTTTGAGAAATCTATTATGTAAGACCCTCAAAATGCTACTTTGTCGCTTTTCTCACAAACCCCCTCCAAGGCCTCTGCCACTGGACCACCAAATTTCAAAAAGTCCACTTTTTAAGACCTATTATTTCACTAAAATCGTTCCTAATTATCGTGAAATGCTATAATATGCATTACATTTTTTTGCCCGCTCTTCTACCCGTTGATTTTTAAATGTGCTACGAAATCTGTTGGAAATTATCAGCTCCAGTGGTTGTAGGCCTACAGATGTAAAGGACATGAAAAATTACAGTTTCACAGTGGTGGATTCAAGGGGGTGGGGGAGAGCCCCCTAAAATTATAAAAGAAATGGAGAAAAAGAAAAATCATAATTAAAGTTTGTCTGAGAGTGCCATTTCCGGCCACTTTGAGGTGCCATAATCATAAATTTTCTTACCTCAGCCCCAACCATGGTGGGGATGAGGTGGTATTGACCATCAGTCTGTCCAGGTCTCACCCTTCACCCCACCCTCTATTTCTCTTGCTTTACTGTAGATCCCTAGACAATACTCAAATGAATGAAAATCTATTTAGGATATTACAAATTACGGATTTTAGAAATCCATTAAAAACGGCCCTCAAAATGCTAATTTGTCAGAGCTTTCAGATTCGCCCCACCCTCGCTGGCCTAGGCAGTCGCCCACTTCGGTTGCAAAACGCACCCCTCCATCGAAAATCCTGCCTACGGGCCTGTAACACCATATGCACAATAATTATATCAATATAATCAGCCGGTCTGCCATGTTGTTTTTATTTTCTCAACCGGCCATCCGTGTTCAATATCTAAACAATATTCTGTTTTAGTAGGCCTATCGCATTTAATTTAGGCCTACAGTATTTGGAACATGATAGATGACGACGATCAATTATATCCGTGCGCACGAGTTAATTACTGTGTAAGCAAACAATATTATTCAACCTGGACAGCTATTATGAAGGTATACGATTAAGTAAATTATAAACGTTAAAGTCGTCAACTTTGTCAGTATGTATTCGGTAAACCAGTACTACCGAAATCATATTCCTGTACTGTATACATTGATTCACGTCTATAAACGGAAGAGATGAGAGAGAGATCAATCGAGAAGAGTGACGGTTTGGCATATCGTGCATGGTGCCAATAATTTTAGAATACATTGATCAAAATGTCATTGCTTCTCTTTTAAAGTTATGTTTTGCTATTTATTGTACTTTCTGTATGCCGGTTTATAAACACATCCAGGTGTTCAATGTCTTTTATAACGTTGTGAATAAGGTATTTCTCAGTCTGTATTGCTTGCGTTGGACCAGTGATGGCGCCAGGATTTGCCCGACGGAGGAAGATCCGAGGTCCTCTGTGACGAAAAAAAAGTGGGCGTGGTCAAATTTGACAACTTCAAAGGCTTATTTATCGACTTTTGTGTCTACAGATAATTAGAAAATACATTATATATTTTTTCTCCCCGACGAATTGTGGTTTTTCTAACCGACGAGGGGGTGGGGAGCTGTCCCCGACAGGGATGACCTTAGTGGTCCAAAATGACCTTAATGGTCCAGGAATGTAAAGGAAATTGTTATCAAGGGAAGTATAAACGTCTACATGTTATATCCAGACTTAAAAAGGTCGGGATACCCATAGAAGATTTGGTTGCTATATATCAAACGTAAATTAGGAGTTGTTTGGAATCATGCAGCGCCTGCTTGGCACTCGGGCCTAACAACTGAGCAAAGTAACTTAATTGAATCCGTGCAAAGGCATGCGTGTAAGATAATGTTGGATTGGGACTACGTATGTTGAGTACGAAAGTGCGTTAAACATTTTAGGGTTAAGTTTCGCTGCTTGAAGGAAGCTGTGTTTGCTGTTGGTTGCTCCAAGAGTACTACGATGGCCCGTAGTGTCACGGAAATAACTTTCGAAATTCACGAAAAGAATTTTCGATACCACACACACACACACGGCACACTTTAAAAAGTCACGGCACACTTTCAAAATTCACCGCACACTTTTAGAAACCACGGCACACATTCAAAATTAAAGGCAACAACTTTCGAAACGTCACGGCAACAACTTCTGAGACATCATATAGCAAACTTACAAAATTTACGACAACAACTTTCAAAATCACAACTTTCGCCGTGGGACAAGCTTCCGCAGTGAGGTTCACGGCAAAAGTGATACAAATTTAAATTACTTAAACTTTTGACGCAGGCGAGAACATAGACCTTATCGCGAACCAAGAAATGTCAACAAAATATCAAATAAAAATCTCTACAAACATTTGAACAATAATAAGTATGTATTTTATAAATTTTACAAACTTTACATGTATGTAGGCCTATGTTATGTACATGTTCTTTTCTTAAACAAGTGTCTATCAACTAAATTGTCCTAAATACACAATACCATACCTCATAAAAATGCCTACCCATGTAAATTAAGGATCCACCCCTACAAGAACACTTCCATAAAACAGTTAATTTTTGCTAAAACTATAGGCCTATGCAGCTATATAACAGCTCTCGGCCAAGAAAAGACGCAGCTGTCCCTCAAGTACGAGTTGAACGTTTGAAATAGTGCCAGGGGCGGATCCAGAGATGTCCAAAAGGGGGCCGAAAGTGGGACCGATCGAGATAAAGCTACCCTGGGGGTTCCGGGGGCATATGCCCCCGAGAAATTTGTGTGTTCTAGACGCCCGAAAATAACCTCTGAGGCGTTTTGGGAGGTTCATTTTTTCTTTTCTTTTTTTTTTATCTTCCAAAAGGGGACCAAGGCCGGTCCGCCCCTCCCCCAACTAAATCCGCCCCTGAGTGGTGTCCCTTTTCTGACACATTTTATTACGTACCATAACCACTGAGGTTTAAACTGAGCTCATTACTTGTAACTCACTCGAGGCTGTGAAATGTTGTAATGTTGTTTTTTATTGTCTTTTTTTTCCCTTTTTTTACTTCATGAAGACATGTAATTCAGCAGTGAGGCTGCGAATCTGAGGCGGATCCAGCAGGGGGATGGGCACGAGGGGGTTGGGGCGACCCCGTTTTGCAACTAAACTTTAAAATTTCAATGCATATATTAAATAGGCCTATGTTGTGCGCCCCACCCCCGTTTGAAAAATTCTGGATCCGCCCCTGCGAATTGTATGAAGTTGTGAATAAAAGTTCTTGAAAAACACTTCTAAAACCATTATATTAACCGGTTATTCGATGACTGATTAATGCGAACGGCTATAGTTTTTGCTGAATATTTAATGGCCTGGTCGTAATAGCTGCAGATTAATACCGTACCGTAAGCTCTGCCCATAATAATTTAAAATGCTCGTTTGAGGTATGGTTTAACTAGGTCAAACAATGCATCACTGGCCATCTATAGTTAACCGTAACCTGCATATTAACCCCGCCATTGTCCAATATTCACTAAAAATCATAGTCGTAGTAGACCCAGGCCGAAATGTATTCGGTAAAAAGTATTGAAAACAAAGGATAACTCGAACGTAAAAGGTATCATAAAATTGTAAAGTGGATTAAACCATTTTTGAAATCGTGCATCAAATTGTTGGAGAGTAGGCTATTTGGGTGAAAGTGCTGATAAACATCTGACTTTTAAGTTTTATTCTAGCTGGCTAAGAGAAATTCAAATTTATTAAAACAAGACATATCAGCAGTATTGAAGAGCTGTCCTAATTGCAATTGCGTCAAAACCTCACACACCCACCCACAACAATAAACCCCTGAGATACAAGCTCATAATTTGTATTTTATTGTGTATACGTATTTTAAACTGAAAAAAATTAAGACAAAATTCTCATTCCGACTCATTGTAAATCTGCTAGGATCTAGATGGGAAAAACAAATATCTGCCTTGTACAGTACGGTACTTCCATCTACGCGGAACTCCCTACAGACAGCAATGAGCCCTTGTCAGAATATAATCGAATCACGTTATAAATTTATAGTTAATGTATACAACGAACACTAAAAAACGTGAATATGATATCAAGCTTATTTTTTTTGTACATCTCATCAAGAGCGGATGAAATTTACAAATAGGCATACAATAACAAAGGATGATATACTCGGTTTATACAGGACCAATAGAGATTGAAAATTTTATTTAAATCCATACCGTAAATAATAATATCGAATAATGTTATACCGTGGTCTCCGTGTGTTTTGTTGAGAAGGGATTTTGAGGGGGATTTTATAAGAGGGAGGCATTTATTTTTTTGAATGTAAAATAGATACGTATATCCAAATTATTCCCTTTAATTTCACTGAAAATATGGGACTACTACAACACATTATTATCCTTAAAGTGTGTTATTGTGTGATCAAAAAACTAATTTATCCCAACCAGGTTAGAAAAAATGGTAATTCTACTGGAGTAGAACATCAACAGTGTTGAAATTTTGAAAGTGATGTCGCTTCCAACAGTTTTTGTTTACTGTCTTCGCGGGAGGCGTTTATTCCAAATGAAGCTATGAAGGGAGCGTTTATACGAGGGATTGCATTGCACATATTATGAATATAATAA